ATCGATAAAATTAGTAAAACTTTATTAATAAAAGGAACCGATGAATGGAAGGTTAATTATTTATTAACTATAGTTTAATAAGTTAATAAAATAAGATTTATTTTATAAAGCTAACTTAATGATTACGAAGCGCTTTATATTTAATTTAAAACCGGGTTTAATATCGAAACTAAGATATTTAAATAATAATAGTTTTAAATTAATGAAGAGCCGTATTAATAATATTAAATTAATTAAATTTATAATAGTAAAAGAAAAAAAACTAAATATAACGCCCGATCGTAAAGTTAAAACGAAAAAATAGTTCCGGATAGCTTTTAAAAGCCTTTTACGATAGGGTTCCGTAGACTTTAAAAATACTATATATATTAAAAAAAGGGCTATTAATTTAATAATTATTTAAAAAAGGAAAGAACTAAAATATACGAATAATATAAAAAGGTAAAGGGAACCGCTAGTAAAACTAATTTAGCTAAATATAATTAGTTCTTTATTAATTATAAAAGTAAATCGCCCGAAATTATAGACCTTATTATAAAGTTTAAAAATATAAAAGATTTAACTACTTATTTAATTAATAACGACGAGGATCTAAACGTTTTAAATAAGACTTAATAGCTCTATTTTATTTTATTAATAACTAACTATTTAATATTTAATAAGAAGTAAATCGTAAAAGCTTTAAATAAGTAAGTTTTCCTCTACGGCTAGCTACGATTTATTAATAAAAAGATTACTTAATTTCGAAACTCCTTAGTCTAATTTAAAATAGAAACCTTTTATTTTTAACTTTAAATAAATAAAAAAAGAAGTAATTTTAAAAAAAAAATAAGCTTAATAATAGCGTTAAGACTTTTTTTATATAATTTAATTAAATGAATAAAAAAGATCGCGTAGACTTATTTTATTAACAATTAATATAAATTAAAAACTTTTTAAAAAATTATTTTAAATATAAGAGTTTTAAAATAATTAATAAAGGGAAAAAGGTAGTTCTAAACTTTAAAAAAGATCTATTTAACTAAATTTAATATTATTAAAGCCGGTATCGTTAAGATTATATTTAAATTAAGTAAATAATCGTCAAGATCAGAATAATTAATATTTAAACTTAGTTCAATACTATAACTTTTTATATATTATTTATTAATACGCCTTTTCTTTTATATTTAATAAATATAAATTGCTTTAATATTACGTTCAAAAGTTTTAAAAATAGGATTATTAACGATAAAATATTTAAAATTATTAAACGACGATAAGGCTATGCTTTTATAAAACTTAAGACTAGTATTTTATTAATTTATTATTTTATAAAAACCGAACTACGGCGCTTTTATTAAAAGTTTAGTTATTTATTAATTTAAAAGCTTTATATTTTATTTAAATAGTTAAGTAACGACGTTAAGATCGTAATAATAAAATATTTAATTAAATTCTATTATTAATATTAAATAAACGTATAGAGCCCACGGCGATTTAAATTTAAAATCTACGATAAGCTTAATTTTAATTAAAAAATAATAATAAACGTTTTTTATTTAAATAGCCGGCTAGTTTTTTATATAATCGATTTAACTATTTTTTTTTAAATAAGGTAGTTTTTTATTAATTTTTAAATAAAAACGATTTAAATAATGTTAAAAGCGTAATAAATCGATATATATTAAGGCCTATTTAATAATATATAAACTAATACCGGAATTAATTTTAAATCTATCGAATTTAAAAAGAATATTAAATTATATAAGATCGAGTTAAAAATAGTATTAATTAAGGCTTATTATAATATTAATAAAATCAAATAAGCTTATTAATAATTAAAAAAAGCATTTAAAATTATTAAAAATAAAAGCCTTAATTTTATAAACGACGATTATTTATGAATAGTATTAAAGTATTATAATAATATTACCGGACTATAAAATTTAATTTTAATATTATTAATATTTAAATTATATTTTAAAACTATTATTTCGTTATTATTATCGCTCGATATTATTTAAAAAGCGTAAGCGATTAAAAAAGTAATATAAGCTTTATAGGATTTAAAAGTAAAAAAATAAGTTAATAAAGCCTTAATATTTTATTAAATTTAAATATACGAATTTAAAAAAATACCGTAAATAAGTAGACCGGATTATATAAATTAATTTTTATTAATAAGCGCTTTTATATAGTTATAAAAAATCGAAACTAATTATTTAAAATCGTAATAACGGCGATCCGATTATATAATTAAATAAATAAAAAAATAATTTATAAAAAAAAAAAGAAAAAAGCTAAAAGAGATTAAATAGTTACTTTTTATTTAAAAGGATAAAGACTAAATTAATTAATTAAAAATCGTTTTTAACGAAATTGTTATAATTAATAAATTAAATAATTAACTATTAAATCCGCCGTAACGGTAGCGAAGTCGGCTTTAAAAGAATTTAATTCTATAGCTTTTTAATTATAATAGATTAATTAATAATTATATCGATATTTTTTATTTAATTAAAAGGAAAATAGATTTTAAATTAGCTTTTAAATTATAAAAAAAAGGGATTATTATTATAAAAGGTAAGCCTTATAAAGCTTTAAATATTATCGAAATAAAAATTTTATAAAATCGAGGCGTATATCGTTTCGTTTTATACGATCTAAATAAATATATTAATCTACGGATTTTTAAATTACATATAGTTTAAGAGATTAAAAATAAAGGAATTAATACGCCGTATAAAAATTTTTATTACGTAATTTAGGGATATAACGATATTAAAAAAGTAAAATTATTTATATAATCGCTAACGGTTTAAAAGAGTAGCTAATAGTTAATATTAATTTTAATCTTTTCTTTTATTAAAAATGGATATTACGTATAAAATAGGGATATTATATAAACGTATACGTAATCCGTTACTAGTTTAATATAGAAGATCTTTATTTATTTTTTAAAAAAGATAATTAATAAGTATTTAAAAAGTACGATTATCGAAATACTTAAACTATTATATAAGCTAATAGAATCGGGAACCTATTAATAAGCGACTTATTATAATTTCTATATTAAATAGCTAAGTATAATTATATTAATTTATAATTTATATTTATTAATCTTTAATTATTTAAAAGGACCTTATAGGATCGTTAATATATAAACCGACGATATATTAAACGTATTTAATATCGAATTTATATAAAAAAAAGATAAAAAGTTTAAAAAGGCCGGATTTATTACTAAACCGAAAGAGATTTTTATTATTAATTATTTATTAATATTTAATAACGGGATCTTTATAATTAAAAGCGATACCGTCGTTTTTTATTAAAAAGGGTAAAAAAAAGAAATTACCCTCGTTAGTTTTATATTACGTAACCGGTAAAAAAGATATTAAATAAAATAAGTAAAAAGATTATATATTATTAATATTTATTAACTAAAAGTAATATTTAATACCATAAAAATAGCGTAAACTATAAATTTAATTAAAGAAAATATTACCGTATTAAATAAGCGGCTAAGTTAATAAATAATAAACTTAGATCACGGGCTAATTTATTATTTATTAAATTTAGCTTTTACTAAGCTTTACGTTTTTATCGACGGATCGTTTATAAATAATATAAATCTAACTTTTTAATTTAGATATATTATTATTTTAATAAACGAGGCTATAGGAGACGACGAATTTATAATATACGGTAATATCGTCTATTATTTATTAATTAAAAATAAAAAAATAATTAAAAACGTTCTAGCCTTAGAGGTTTATAAAATAATTAACGGCGTTGACCTCGCTTATACGATTTTTATTATATTTAAATAGATTACAGATCGATTAACTTTATTTACGATATTAACGATTATTTATATAGATTTTTATTTATTATATAAATGCCTTATTAAGTTAAATATTATTAAAAAGAAGAGGTTAATAATAAATATTATAGCCTTGCGGTAATTATATAAATAACGTAAGATTCTTAAAATCTATTAAATTAATAATAAAGATAATTTAATAAACGTTTTTATTAAATAAAACCTAAACTTAAATTTAAAACGATTTATTAATAACGGAACGATTATAATACGTATAAAAGGATAGGTTATACGGAAGGGGCTTAAAAAAGAAACGGAAAAGGAATTATAAATATTGTTTTTATTAGCGTATTATATATTATTATAAGATTGTTAAATTATTTTTTTAATTATATAAATTTAATAATAAAAGAGAGATAGTTAGTATTAAATTAGAAGCTTAATTCGACCTTAAGTTAGTACTAGCGCAGGGGGTATTTAAGGGTCTCTATATTAGCGTTTGACCGGCGATCTAACTAACGGTTGGAACCTCTCTTTTCTACTTCACATAGAGATCAATACAAGAGTAATTGACCCTTCGTCACCACGGTTCGATCGAACAAATCACCCTGTGATTACGTAAACCAACAATTTGTTAAGTTTGAGGGAGCTGGCTAACACTACAAGCCTCCCGAGTCCGATGCCGGTAATCAATCTGACTTTCCCTTGGTCTATTAGTTTTCCCTTTACTTGCCATCGGAAGATAGTTGCTCACTGTGATGAATCTGTAGCATTTGATGTCCCTGCCAGTTGGGTTCCCACCAAGGAGGCTTTCTTCACTGTGAGAAAAAGCTCAGGATTTTGCATCGTCTACACTACCGGCGTGGGGAAACCCAAGTCGAGTGCAATACCTTGCCAACTGTCATTACCTTACTTTATCCAACCTGGGACTCCCCAAGCTGTGCTGTCTTGCATAGATAGGACGGCCAGCTGGCCAGCGCACGTGTCAAGCTAATTAACTGTCTCACAAGCGACCGCGTGGCTCCCCACCCCGAAAATCTCTTTTTTGTTGGACGATCTTATCAATCTTATCAATCAGCCCCCCTGTTCATCGTATTATCGATCAGCGCACATCTCACGTTTCGTGACTTATTATCCGCTACCCGTTCTACCTCGGTCTCACCACATCGTCCTCAACATCCTCACCAACAAGATGATGCAAGCATTCAAGAGCCCAAAGCAACAAGCAAATGAGGATACTTTGCATCTGTTCGCCACCTTTCTTTTTGGTCTCGTGGTTTTAAACTTCGTAGCTCATCGGCTGCGTGAGGCTTGCAACAAGAATCCATGCTCCAATTCCGCCCAGGGCCTAAATGGCTACGGGCGACGGGCGTGTGTTGAATTCTTCCGGTATGTGGGAACAAAGCTCGTTAACCAGACAATTTGATGCTAATGGGGCTCTTAGAAAGTTGGAGAAACGTATTGATTGGGGATGGTTTGGAAGGCCCTGTTTCGGCTTCATCGCCATGGTCATTGTCTACCTCGCCGTAAATGTCACTCTCTGCACAACCAACATCGTCATGAGGAACCTACTCAATCATTGGGCCTCTAGATTTGGATGGTGATTCTCTCCTACGTTTTCCAAATGGTCTGCATCAGCTGAAATATTCCAGGATTTGCGCCGCGAATATGACGCTGAGTGTGTTTTTGGGCACGAAAAACACACCTTTAACTCCGATGGCAGGCGTGTCACATGCACAGCTCAACATTTTGCACCGAATCGTGGGATATACTGCCGTCTTCTTACTCGCACTGCACGCCATCTTCTACACGATACACTTCCATCGCCACGGCAAATTGGCTAGCTTGCTGAAAGTAGAAGACCTAGCTGGCATCGGCGCCGCCACCGGCATGGTAGTTCTGTTCATGGGCATTCTAAGACACCGGAACTACAAGGTCTTTTATATTAGTCACATCGCAGGCTTCGTGACCGCCGTTATCCTGACGGGGCTGCATAGACCAAACTGGGCAAAGAGAATACCAGCGTTGATGAGCTTCGCGTTCGGAATCTGGCTTCTGGATCGCATGATCCGAGCCTTTGGGATGCTTTACAACCTCATCAACAATTCTGCCACCTTCTTTCCCCTCCCGGGTGGTGGAACGCGCCTGCTTCTCAGAAAGCCAGGTGCCCAGGCAGCCTTGCCGGGGTCTCACTGCTTTCTCTGGATTCCTCGGGTTCGTCTCTATGAAAACCATCCGTTCACAATTGTCAGCAATGGCCCCTCCGGCTTAGAGCTTGTCATGAAATCGCACCAGGGATTTACCAAAGCTGTTAGCGACTTTGCCGTACGCCACCCTAATTCTACGGCTTGGGCTTCGGTTGATGGGCCATATGGAGTTTGTCCTAATACAGACAACTATGAAAAGCTGATCTTCATTGCTGGTGGAAGTGGGGCTGCTTTTACATTTGGTCTCATGAATCGAGTTCTGGGACAGTCCGAGCCGCCTAAACTCCAATCCGTTGAGTTTATATGGACTGTAAGACGTTCAGGTGAGTCGCAATATATTTGTTGCGTTGGGTGGATTTCTCTGACAATGCGACAGATCATCTCAAGTGGTTCCACGAACACCTCAGCACCCTCTTGAAGATGGGGCCAGCCGTAAAAGTATCGCTCTTTGTTACGAATGAAGAGCCGACATCAAGCTCAATAGCCACTCAATCCGATGCCCCATGCGGTATTGTAAGTCAGCTACTGTCTCGAAACGAGATTCCCAGCTACGGGGCTGTTTCGACTGTGGACGACACAAGTAGTCTGGTGGCCCGAACAAACGGCCACGAAGTCGACCAGGCTTTCAACCAACATTTCATGAGAATGGATATAGATTTGATAGTCAGCGATGCTATACAGTCTGTCGAGAGCTGTCAAAGAGTCTTAATGGTGACTTGCGGCCCAGAATCGCTCATGGATGCCGTAAGGGATTCAGCGGAAAGTTGGCGGAAGAAGCGAGACCTCCGGATAGATGTTCACTGCGAGGCCTTCTAGACTCATAGAGATACCAAGTTAGATGTCACACCAACACAATCCAATGATGAGCATGTGCATGTGTAATCATCCAGCCCAAAAAAGGGTCTTTGACAATGTCTGAGGGGCGAGGGGGCAATGCATCCCAGGAGACTGATAGCCCCTGCTGTCATCCGATGCCAGGCCACCCACCGTGCCGCTTCTCCGAAAACCCGCATCCATGCCCGTCGTAAAGGGGTGGCTAGAGTCAATAACAGTAATTATTGGATGCTGTGAGTGTATTATATATAATATACAATATGGAGTATTATGCCCTTATGAGGGATAGGAGTAGGCGCAGAGAGATAAAGGGGTCGCGTTGGGGCGCTTGCATTAGTGCACCTTGCCAGGATTTCAATGTTTGTGAAGCAAAACCGAGCCACGGGCTCGGCTGTTTACCTGATGGATGAGCAAACCCTGATCATTCTACGCCATCTCGGGAGAAATCCTGGTTCTTGCATTCTCAACTCTCCAATTTTTGCAATCACACGATATTCTCTTGCCGCAATTTGAGAATGCTGTCTTTGCCTGCTACGGACGACATACCATATAGGCAACAACTCCCCAACGTGGTCCGAGACCGACGAGAAAGGTATCGCGGATATCAACAGCAATCCATTAGGAAATCCTGTAGCGATCAAGGGCTTTCCGCGGACTTTGGAAGCTTCCCGCTCTTATTTGTGGTGTCGCGCTTTCATGGGGCTTGTCTTTCTCGGCGAACACCCTAGGCCCTCTTAAGAGCACTTTGATCAAGAATCTGGATATCAATAACCATCAGGTAAGGATTGGATGTTCTAAATGTTTGAGCAATTTTCTTTTCCAACTCTACATACCCTCGCACGGAGCTATTTCTTTGGCCACGTCGCTTGCGAACACCATCCTCCCAACTTTGGGTACATAGGTACAGATAGGTACGGACTTGATCATTATGGCGTCGAATGGTAGGCTCCTCCTGTCACGAATCTTTTTCTTCATTCCATATTAAATAACGCTGAGCGTATAGCTTGCTGAAATTATCAACATCAGGGGCACCTTGGGGTGCTCAGTCGCAATCTTCATCAGCGCGGTAATACCGGCGGTTGGCCCTGACGAGGATTCCCTTGCCCTCGTCATGACGGGCCGAGTCATCATTTGGCAGTTTTGTGATTAAGACATGCACGGCCAAGGTGAATGAAATTGCATTATGCTTTGGAGGACTGAACTTTATGCGCAGCCTTCCTGGCGCCAGCTAGAGATCTTGGCCCATTGTTTCCAGTATAAGAGGCTCGGCTTAGTGTGCGGATTGAACTTGTCGATTGGTACGTTCCCGTTTCCACGCCGCGCTTTACCTCAGATGCAAGAATTGATATCTCCATTGATCTAAGAGAGACCCATGGGCCTATTTCCAAAGTCACTGCGGTTCCGATGCGGCGATGCGAGATGCCATTCGTTCTGGGTTGGGCGCTATGGAACCAAATGGGGGGGATAGGATTTGGTATTTCGCTTCATGTTTATTTATATACTGGAGCTTCACGTCTATCTCCTTTTACTACTAGATATATTCATAATATCTCTTTCATTAAAGTCATTATTTTTCAAATTTCAGGATTGGTGGCGACCAAAATTATACCCTTTCAATTCAAAAAGAAAACTGCGATTTTTGATACATAACTACTGGCCCGACAAATAGAGCAAGATTCTTGGAGGAATCCCGTGACTACTCAAAGCGTATATCGGAAGTCGGGGTGCCTGTCGCCCTTCTTTCCTTGGTCAATCTCCCGTGATCTCTCATCAATGCTCATATTTTTCCTCTGAGTGTTGATCCTATTGAGTAGAGTCCACATGGTGAAGTAGCCAACCGACGCAATCGTAATGGTGCAGATAGAAACCGCATGGCCAATAGTATACCTTCCGTCCGAGGTAGTGATACGGTAGATCTGTCCAGCCATGATACCAGCGCTGTTTCCAATAGTCTGTTGCAGACCAATCGCCGTAGCACGTTTGAAGTACCCGGCATTACTGTTGGAAATCCATGTGACGTTGAGGCCGACTACGCAATAAATTCCCGTGGCGGTGACAAAAGTCGCAAAGTAGAGGACAGAGGTCGACTTCATGCTTACGCCAAGCATTAGAGCGTAGCCCGTAGCGGTTACCAAAGCCATTGGAACCATGAATACGGCGCGCTTGTTGATCTTGTCCGACATATATGCGACGGTGAGGTAGACTGCCGAAGCCCAGATGTAAACCGGCACGGTGAGGAGCTGCGTCTTGATGCTGCTGTATCCAAACCCGCGAATGATGACTGGCAAGAACGTTCCGAAGCCGAAAGAGCAGGTGTTTGCGCAGAACTGGCAGCCGGCGGACAGCCAGACCTTGGGATCCTTGAACGCGAGCTTTACTTCCTGCTTATCAAACGTCTCTGACTCGCCCTGGTAGACCCTGGACTGCTCAGCGCGGATGCGCATCAATGCCCTGTCTTCTTCCGTGAGCCACCTGGCCGACTCGAAGCTGTCGGGAAGCAGGAGGATGAAGGCCAAGCCAACCGCCATGGAAATGACACCTTCAATGAGGAAAAGCCATCTCCATCCAGCCAAGCCGCTCGCGCCGTGGAGGCCTGTCAGTCCATAAGCCAGAAGACCGCCAAAAGCGCCGGACAAGGCAGCCGCGACGAAAAGGTATGATATTCTCCGAGCTTGTTCCTCGCGTTTGTAGTATGTGCTGAGGTAGAGTGTCAGGCACGGGAAGAGACCACTCTCGAAGACACCGATGAGAAGACGGGTGGCGAGAAGCCCGGCGTAGTTGGTGACAAAGGCCGACCCGATGACTGTAGCACTCCAGGAGAGGATGAAGAATGGAATAAGCCGACTAGGTCGTGCTCTCTTGAGAATCAGGGATGCCGGAATCTCGAAGGTGATATAAGTTACTGGGAATTGTGTTAGCCATGGTTCGCTCCTACTCGTTGGTTAGGGGTACGCACCATAAAACACAGTGACAGCGACATTGAGCTTATTGCCCGTGAGTTTCAAGTCCTCCGTCATGCCTGCAATTGCGGCGTTGCCTAGATTTTGAACGAGTTAGACTCTGACGATTGTAATACAGCTGGCTGTCAAGGTAGCATACCAATATTGCTGCGGTCAAGGTAGGCGACCAAGAAAGCAATGATCATCATCGGCGAGAGCCATACGTCTAATTTCCTCAACAGACGCTTTTCTGCAGCTGGATCGATTGTAAGGTCGGAACTCGCAGCCGCCGAATGAGGCTCGATGCCGCTGTCCTTGGCCTCCATGGGCATCTTCTCCGAAGCCATTGTTCGAAGACCAACGCTTGTTGAACGTCTAAGTAAATCTGGTGAATTGATGCAGAGATGTTGCGACTCTGTTTGGAGCTGACGACATGTCCGAACGACTTGACAGAGTATCCTTCAACGGACATATATCTACCTTATGCAAGAGATGCATCACAAAGGCAAGGTGAGGTCAATGTATTCACCTATCAAACAACGTCGGCCTTTGGCCAGCACACATGGCTGGGCGACGGGAAATCGGCGAGCTTATCGTAGCATCGAAAGACAATCCTTGTGGCCTAGCGGGGGCAAAGCCGGGGAATGCAGGATTCTTATCTCTTGGTCCGCGAATAGCCTAGGGGCGCCGAGCTTTTCCTTTCGGCAAATTGTGGAGAGACTGATAGCCAAGTCTCTTTGGGGATATCAATACCCCGACATCGCCCTTGTGGCCCGTACAAAAGAGTCCTATTTCCCGATCTCGCAACTGCGACAACATATGCTCGGGAGACAAGTCCGAGCACATCTCACGGCGTGCGCGCGCTTGCTCTCTCAATGGATACCCCAACGCCCAGAATGACCAATCCGAAAAGTCCGATTAGTCGGAAGAGGAAGCGAGGTAGGCACGCAGTGGCGTGCGAGTCGTGTCATCGGCGAAAACAGAGAGTGAGTGAGCTTGCAGTCTCCTTGTGGACTTGGCGTGGCACAATAGTCTCGTCGAAACCATCTCTTGATTGCTTCAATTCCCGATATTCTATACCAACTATCAGTAAACCCAGGCCTTGCTTGTCTTGGTGTTTTCGTGGTTGATGGTGCCAGCGCTGGACTCGCGTTTATCACTGAGCCATGAGGACGCCAGATATTAACTTCATTATGCCGTGTCAAACCTAGACTTAGTTATGTCACTTCACTAACTTGATTTCATCAGTGCAATGGTTCGCGGCCATGTTTCAATTGCGAAAGACGAGGAGTCGGCTCATCATGTTCCTACGGCCACCTAGGTGAAGTTGATGGCATAAGAGCCACTCAAGGTCAACGCGATTCTCTCATGACTACACCAGCCGCCAACCTGGCAACCCCAGTCTCGCCCCCTTCCACGAATGCGATCTCTGTACGAGACGTCGAACGACCCGATGAATCCTCAGGCTCTAGGACGTATCCATCGAGGTCGTCAAGTCGAGGCGGAGGTCGCCAGGGCGAGAGTAGCGGCCAAGATCAGCCATCAGAAAACCTCGTCGGCAATCTCTTCAAAAGCCGCGATGCGCCGTCCTTCTTCGGGTCCTCCTACTTTGGCCCTCAAGCCGCCGCAAAAATCATCCAAGCGCCCGCTCCAGAGCTGTCATCTGGTCTCAGCTCAAAGCCCCAGGCGGGTTCAACCCACTCGTTCCGCGATGAAGGTGGCCCGTTTTCCCAAATATGGGAGCTACTCGGACTGCTGCCGCGCAAGAAGTCGACAGTCGACAGGCTGACGGAATGCTTCCTGAACGAGCTCAACTGGGCGATAGACGCTGTTCAGCCAAATTCTTTCAAGGCAAAGTATGAAAACTTTTGGTCGCGCAAGTTCGGCTTTGACGATTTCGCCACGATTGATCTTCGCTGGCTCGCTCTGCTATTCATCGTTCTAGCCTATGGCGTGTTGCTGGACTGTCCGAGGCCGCGGAACAGGGAGGTCCAGCGAGAGGTTTACGATACGTCGCAACGGTTTTACTGGGCTGCCCGGAGAGCCATCGTGATCGCCCCGACCTTTTACGGCGAGTCCACGGACCTCGTGCGAGCCGGTGTTCTAGTCACTCGGTATCTCATTTACACTCGTCGCGTGCCGGAATCCTGGCTTACAACGAGCTTTGCTATGCGAATGGCTCAAGCTCAAGGCATGCATATCGACGGTGAGAGGTGGAGGCTTCCAAGGAAGGAAACGGAGACCAGGCGGCGATTGTGGAGCAATCTTTACATGCTTGATAAGACCATTGCTTTAGCTCTCGGACGGCCCTTTGCCATTGTTGATCAACAGTGTCTTGTCAAGCAGGCGTCCAATGTTTGGCTAGATGACCTGGATGACGAGGAGGCCGCCTCGGTCCCAGAAGCACCCCTTTCCGAACCAACTGCAAGCGTCTTCAGCCGCCTGGCTCACGAACTTGCCGTCGTCGTCGGCAAGATCCAAGAGCGATGCTTTGGTCTGTTCACAGTCTCGTACGAGACAGTTCTCACGCTCGACAAGGAAATCGATACTTGGAGGGGCAGGCTACCACCGTATTTCGAATTAGAGGACGCAGACAACTCAAAGGACGACCGCCTCCCGTTCCTCCCTTGGCAGAGGCTACATTTGCACAGCATGTACCACTTTGCGCGAGTCACCCTCCACCGGCCGTTCCTCCTTCGCCAATCGATCACGAATAGGTACAAGCACAGTCACGACGTCTGCATAGCTTCCGCCTGCGCGGATCTCGACATGGGCCTCAAGATGTTCAACCAACCTCTCAACGATCGGTTGAAGTGGAGCCTAGGGCCGCACAATCTCTTCAACAGCGCATTGGTCCTGGGCATCATTGCGGTCCGCGATCCTCACTCCCGGCGATCTCAAGCTATCCTTGAGGACTTGGCCGCGTACTGCGAGATGCAGAGGAACGACGTGTGGCTCAATGAGTTTGCCCTCGCTGAAGTGAAAATAGTCGAGCTCTGTGTCAAGAAGGCTAGACAGTCCCATCCGCCGCCAGCCAATACCCTAGTACCGTTGGCTCTTGCATCAGCCTCGCCTGGGCGGCGCTTTTCTCAACCGGCCGGACAACCGCCGGTAATGGAGACACAACCGCAATTGCCTGTTGAGAGTCCAGACTTTGATCCTCTCATGGCTGGCTTGGGGCTTCCTTACAGCACGACGAGTGCGCAGATGACTTGGGATGATCCTGGATTTTTCCTGCCTGAGAGCGGGGACCTGTCGCAATGGGAACATGTCATCAACACTCTCATGCATGATCAAGCAAGCATGTGAGCTTAGGTTTTCGTAGATAACAGCCTCAAACGTCAAAGGAAACCACTTCCTGGGTCGGCATGATTGTATGAGCTATGAGAATAACGTACTCCATAAGAAGTTGCTATATCTTTCCCATTGCAATGTGAAATTAGCTTCAAAATGAGAATTAAGTATTTAAAGAGAATAAAATTACTTCAACTGGCTACTCGCACCTATTTTACTAATTTATTCCCTCCTCGAAGAGAGTCCAAAATGACCTGGGTTAAAACAACAAGCAAGTTTCTAACTAAAGCAGACTTGATGTAAACACACCATTTTCAGTATTCCTATACCCTATTATGTACACAAAAGAGCTTCTAATTGAGCAATTTAAAAATTTGTAAAACGTCATCAGCCTCTTGCATATGTAGTTTCTCAACATAGATATGACCGATCACAAAAGGCATCGGAGCCCGGGAGGAGCCCGGGAAGAACAACAGTCATCTAAGGCCATTCAAGATCAGTTGTTTGAACCCACACCGGAAAAAGTCCTGCAAGTGGGGAATAAACTTGAGATGTTTTGCTTTGCTTTCTCCTAGTATCTTCATGTTTCTATTCGCTTGCGCCGTTGGTCAGTACCTAGTCATAACAAAAGCAATATTCCATAAGCTCTTACGTAGGGAGCACTTGTCTCCGTTCTCGGAAATATCACCAGGCGCAACGTACTTGCAGCTGCCCTTATTGTATCCGAAACAGCCCTGTCAACACATTTAATAATTCTTCTCAAGGCGAATAAATCATCTGTCAGCCATTTATGGTCTTAACGTGGTCTCGCGAAGATTTTGGTTGACTGATGAAAGTAATTATAACCTACCCAAGCTGAAGCAACCGCGCAGGCGGCTTCACGCCACCGCAGTTTCTCTTGCTGCGCTCCATGTGGGTGTCAAAAGACATTCGCGCTACTAGAATGTTCGACAGAAGCGTTGGCCATGGCCAGAGGGGCGGTGGCCATTTCATCGGATAAATCGGTCTTGGTTCCGGGGCATCGAAAATATAAGTCGTACAGGGCGGAGGATTCCATAGCAGTGCATAATGTATGCATATTACATGGTTCTCAGAGTTCAAGAAGCAAGATATCATACTCCCTCAAGATTACTTCCAGGTCAAGTGAGAGGTAAAAGGATATGTTGGACGATGAGATGGAACTAAAAAGTCCAGTCAGACGAATGCGTGACGTCGAGTCCATAGTTGTATCGGGTTTCTTATGTTTATCTCAATGGAATCCGTTGACCTTGACCTCTTTCATGCCATTCACTCCGTTGACCACTTTAACCCCATTTGTTCCGTTCGTGTTCTTCTGAGGCTTCTCCTCATATTCCACCTTATTAACCAAGCTTCCTAGGCCGTGACTCATGACGATGCGCAGGTCATCCCCAGGAGCCAAGAAAACAGGCGGAGTCCTGCTCACGCCGATTCCGTGGGGAGTTCCCGTCATGATCACCGTCCCAGCCTCCAGCGTTGTGCCTTGAGACAGATACGCCACGATCTCGGCGATGGAGAAAATCATGTCGTCCCCTCTACCTTCCTGCATGACCTCCCCGTTGAGGACAGTCTTCAGCTCAATGACTGAAGGGTCTGGGAGGCTGCTCGCGCTGACGATACATGGGCCCATCGGGGCAAAGCCGTCAAATCCCTTCCCGAATCCCCACTGAGCACCAGCGAACTGATGTTTTCTCGCCGTGACGTCGTTGGAGCACATGTAACCGAGCACATAGTTCATGGCATCCTCCACGCTCACGTTTCTGGCGTCACGGCCGATGATGACGGCTAGCTCGGCCTCGTAGTCTGCTTGCAGATCTGTTGCTTGGTGGGGAATGAGGAGCGGTGCGTTTGACGCGTTGAGACAGCTTGCAGGCTTGAAGAAGAGAGTGGGGTGCTCCGGGAGATCGAGGTTCATCTCCTTGGCATGTTTGCGATAGTTGAGGCCGATGCAACGGATCGTGCCGATTTCTTTGCGTGTAAGGGGTGGGAGAAGCTTTTGGATGTTGAGAATCTTTGATGTAGGTTCTGCTGAGACGTCCAGGGCTGAGATTCCAGTGAAAACTCGAGCAGGGACGGGGAGAGATGCGGCCAGGGCGGCCCCGACTGTACAAGGGGTAAGGTGACTTGGTAGCACTTGGGCGGTAGGAGTCCTTACCGTCAAGGTTCTCATCGACTGGTTCACCAATGTACTCCCTCCAATCATCCTCGGCAATGAATCGCACGAGACGTTTCCATCTCTGACAGAAGATTTGTTAATAATGAGACACTTTGTGATCACTGTGTGGCTTTCCAGGTTACCTACAGGAGTTATCATCTTAGATGATTCGTTATGAGGCTCTGTATGACAAGCAAATCTAAATCAGATGTTTAAATGCGCCTGCGGTAAACCGAATGAGCATGTTTGCGATAAGATCGAATGTGGCATCGCAAATGAGGCTGATATAAACACATAGATCCAGCAGACAGCTACGCCGGCCGTTGACCGGAAGCTGATTCTATCGAGGTGCATCGGTCATCCTCCGTTATCGTGGCGTTTTCCCGACGCCATCGGGAAATGTGATCGGCCTTTTCCACAAACACCAAGACCAGTATCCGCACCAAGATAACGTCGGAGACCCCAACCCCGCAAAGCCCACCTTCACTCGACTAGAAATAATTCGGTAGATAGACACAGACTGCCCGGCAATTGTGTAAAATCCTGTCAACAATCTAGGGAGAAACGTGGCTCCTGGGCCCTTTCTCCAGAGACGCACGCACACAACACCCACTGACCCGGGCCGCTTATATCCAGTGGGCCCGGCTCCTCGGAGGACCGAATGCTTGGGTCGGTCTTCTTGCATCCACTCTCGCGCACGCTCTGGGACTCGGGAGACCGGTCTGCCGATCTACTTTGATAGCCGAGAAGTTTTGCTTGGAGAGTTGGTGGAATGACTGTCCCACTGAGGCCAAAGACTGTCTGCCAGCCTTCGCACTAGCTAATGGGCCAGCAAAATTTGGTGCCCCACGAGTGGGTCACGCCTTCATCCACCTCTCTCCCACAGCATTGATAAAATCAAAATGGGCCATCTTTTTCAACAATTAGGACAAGCACAATAGCTCAGGGGTAGAGCGCTGGGCTCATAACCCAGAGGTCCCTGGATCGAAACCAGGTTGTGCTATCAATAATATCTTTTTGCATTTGCAATGTCTTGCCGTTTGTGTTCAGCTTTTTGTCCTTGACTGAGGTGACAAGGAGTTGAAAATCTGCCGGAGACACAAAGAAAATCAAAGTCTGTGATTGCTTGCTTGCTTGTCTTCAAGCATTTCATTCTTTTACGCTTCTATTGTTCAACCGAAATTTGCTATACAGTGAATGTGCCGTCTTGACTGGAAGTTCAATGCCACAATGCCAACAAAGACATGAAAAAAGCATTGTTGTAAGAATCTCAAAGGCACTGAAACTAATAACATCTATCTCCTAGGTACTTGGGAGAAATGAAGTAGATTGGTATTGTAGTCTGGCCGCTGAGTAGCTTTACCTGTAAGAACAACTTTTGAAGTTCGCAGTGCCAGCGAGTCTGATAATCTTGGAAATCCTCCGCTGTATCCAAGTATGCTGAACATAAATTCTCATTATCTACCTAGGTAAAATAATGTCATTGTATGCTGAGCTTTGAGAGTCTGTTCGTCTGAATGCCCCGTGGTGTGATTGTTACTGGTAGTTTCTATGGTGATGTTTAAGTAGCCATCACCCACAAGATGCTCGGCGCGCGGTCCCATCCAAGTGTCTCAGCTCGAACGAAGCCAGACATTCTTGTCTCATCTTCGGTCGACGTATGCAAATCACTTGTTTTAACTGAGAAAAGGGACTTGCCAGTTTATGATTGTGAGGCTGTAGCACAATTCGATACGATGAACCCGCCCTCACCCCCAGATCATTACCGAATCCTCGGCATCGAAAGCAATGCGACACCAGAACATATTGAAGACGCATTCTACAGCCGAGTGGGAATTCATGATCCGAGCGGACAGTATGATGCACATGGAGGATCGGAAAGGACTCGGAACGGAGGCGCAAACGGTTCGTCAAAACCCCAAAGTTCCAACGGGATACTAGCCCAACACTTTTCATCTTACCGAATGCAGATCACAGCGGCGTACGAGGTTCTCGGTGACCCCTATCAGCGCGCACAATACGACAAGTCAAAACAGGCCATGGTGAAGGCTATGGTCAAGGCCAAGGAATTGCGGAGTCGCAAGCTGTCGGAGTGGGAAAGTAAGCCGGAGGAGCTTGTCCCACCGGAGGCCACATTCGCGGGCGTCAAAAGAAGGCTAAAGGATAAGCTTAAAAAGAGCAAGAAGCGACTAGAGGCGGCTTTGGAGACATCAGCGCACAAAGCTCAAGAAGCCGAGGCGCGACGTAAGTCTCAGTGGTCTGGGGTATTTGGTGATCCTCAGGAAGGATATTACTACCAGCAACCAGCAGTGTCAAAGTCTCACCAACAAAAGCTCCAGAAAGAATACGCAGCAGAACCACCAAAGATTCCGATGACCTACGAGGACTTTTATAAGAAATTCCAGGAGGACTACAATGTTCAAGATTGGCCTATTACTAACTTGTACGCTAGTGAGTCGCGCATCTCTCACAAGGCTCTGGAACCAAGTGCGCCTGCCGAGGCGCGTTTCACCGTCGAAAGACCGAAGCAGACATGCAGAGACGACCCTCATGGTTGGAAGGGATGGTTTCCAGCAATGAAAGGCTCATTGCCTCCTAATTGTCCCATTTGCGAGGAGTTTGTTTCGAAGTTTTTCTGTAGGAAGTGCAACGCCACGAGTTGTATGATGTGTAGGTTTACTTACGTGAAAATTTCTCACACTGGGCACATATAAAAATAAGAGGTTACACCTCGCGGCTTTCCTGGATCTGACAGATGCAGATCTGTAGGCAACTTAGACGTATGCCCCCGACGGCAGGGAGAGCCATTCATAATGGAATTTTAAACTATGATTTTGTGTCCCAGTAACCTTGCTGCTAATAAATACATGTACTCGCCTCGAGCATTTGGATCTACGTATCGGGCAGAGTTTACACGCAATTGAATGGACATAGCCCCGCGCCATAGAACGGTGCCCCTCGCCGCCCGTCTGAATACTCCCCCAGGTATATACTACGTTTTTCATGTTTTATTACTCAGGAGAGCCGGAGATAATCCTCTTCCGTCACAGACACTACACGAACCACAGCCACCAGCTATCATACGGGAAGATGGTCAAGAGGTGTACAACGTTGAATCTATCCTCGACCATAGGATTGCACGATGCGGACAAGGCGATGTCAAACTCCTCGTCAAATTGGAGGGATACACAAAACCTACGTGGGAGCCAGCAAGAGAATTCGAAGACATCGTTGCATTCAATAATTACCTGGCTAGCAGCGACATATCGAAGCCTTTAAATCGACGGAAATATAAACAAGCGCAGCGACACTAAAGGAGAAGGAGAGTATTGTCGCGGGCTACGGCCGTGATCTGGCTTCGGCGATGCCCTTGCCTTTGACGGTTCTATGACACTCTCTCGGTTTCCACAGGACCCACACCGAACGCCAGGATCGACAGCAGGACAATACACTACTATAACATATACATATGTGCCGTTGCTTTGTATGTAGTTTCTTTTGACTCTTCAAGATTGCAATACTCGTTAATATTGGATCGCCGATTGGAACTAAAATCGCCCACGCCCGCCACTATACTGAAAAAATATTGAGACTGCTGCTACCTACCTACTTGCTTTGCCTACCTGACCTTACCTACCTTCGTAACCTAATCATGCTAACCTTACTGCCTTTTATTGATTTACACCTACGCAGCACGCCGTAATCCTTTAGCCCTAACCTGACCCTGCCGGGGCTGTGAGTGGGCACTACTGCTATGGAGTTATTACGTATGGAGCGACCCTAGAGCCGCCTGAGGCTTAAATAGGGTGCAGTATCTCCCCCGGGAATGCATGCAAGAGAAAAATTCAGTGACGATGGATATGGCACTAATGTCCCTCGGAATCTCTGGGTTGAGATGACCACGCCTGAACTGATTAGAACCCTTGAGATACCTGCCAGCATTAGGCGATCTCACTGAGAGGGGACAAGAGGATCCAACAGGTTAGCAGGGAAGCAGGCATTATTGAGGGAGTGCAGCTAAGGCCTAAGCAGCCTGGCGGCCGAGGTACAGAAAAGCAGAACAAAGAAAGAACGCAAGGTATAATAAAGAAAAGATTACATAGTGGGTGTTAGTAGCACTAAGGAACTATGCCTCCTCTATGATAAGTCTGTAACGTGGGCAAATGTCGTCCAAGAATTTGGTCCTCTTAAGTCGGTTATAAAGCCGATCTAGTCCCAGCCTAGCATCTTTGTAGCGAATTCCTTCTGGGCGAGCTAGGGAGGTTTCCTGTTGACTTTTCGACCGAAGAGTGGGTGGGAAGGAGACTTCTCCCTGCCGCAAGAGCAGAGCAGATGAGCATCTTAGTGATCAAAGCGCTTGTGGTATGCTGCGAAGTCCCCATGGCCGCCTCGCGCTGCCACGAGCCAGTGCAACTCCATCTCAGAAGGGAGGCCAGTTCTTTTGTCGGCCTGAGGGAAACCTCCAAATTGAGCCTGGCATATCTTCCAGGTTGGTTCTGGGCCCACCACTTCTGAAAGGCCTTGAGTTGCTGTTCCCGTATTCCCCGCTGTATATAAGCCGCTGTTGATGGCCTTGTGTGGAGGTTAGGGGAGGGCTGGGATGACCCCTTCTTCGCCAGAAAGTCAGCCAGCATCTTACCTGGGATGTCTTGACATTGTATGTCCAGGATTCCACTGGACCTAGTTATAAAGTGTGGATCTAACAAAAAGCCTTACTCAGAAAAAATTTGTCCATAATGAGCGGCTGCACTTCCGACTACATTTTCGCCGATAGCCCGAGTTGCTTGCACGGGTACGCCGAAGCGTAATTCAACATTAAATGAGGTTGACTATCTGTGATTATACATTTGAAGTAGCATATAAACCCAAGGGGATGACGTTCTGTTTCGCTATTTAATGAGCTACGCCGAAGATGAAGTCCATGTAGGTCCGGAATCTTTGCTTTGAATCGCACATATCGCATTCCTTTGCTTCTCACTACTAGGCTGCCAGCGCCTGACAAATCTTTCTCACCATGCGCTTCTTCACATTATTTCAACATCTATTACTCTCTCTAATCGTATGGCAAGCCCAGGCCCAGGTCAAACCCCGCGGATTCAAATTCACCGGCCCGAAGAAAGGCCAGCAGGGCGGCTGCAGCGCCGAAGATGTCTCCATCATCCTCCAAGAATTGGAGATCGCCCAGGAAGCCGCTGAGGTCACCGTCCGCCATCTCACAAATTATCCATACTTTGAGGGTTTTCAATCACCCGGCCATCCCTATTTCCAGGGCAAGAATTTCACTCAAGCCGCCAGGAAGCTCTACAGCCGTATCGCCCGTATCGCGGACGGGTTTCACCTGGACGATAAGTTCCGCATCGAATGCCGCAGCGACCTCTGCGTCATGGCTGACGACGATACCATTGCCGTGACGATGGAGAGCGCCGTCCGCATCATCTTGCCCCCGACCCTATGGCTTCTGAAACCCGGCGATCCCGTCATGGCTTTCTGCGAGCCGTTTTTTAGAACCAAGGACGGGGGCAGCGGGTGGGATATCGTCTCCACGGAACTCCGCTTGCAACAATTCAGAGAGGATATCGAGAGGTCCAAGCAGAATTCGGGCACAAAGTTCACGTTGCTGAACATGCGCAACGTGGGCAACATGAGGAGCCAGATTATTTTGCACGAACTGGCGCACACTGCCTATGCATCCAAACCAATAAATGGGGCACTGCAACCTAATGCCTTTGGTCAAGAGCCGTAAGTCATCTCCCACGCATCTACAACTCAAGGAGCGAGGATTGTTGCTGATGCAATAAACTTCATAGAATTACGGACTACGCCTACACGGCCTTGGATTGCTTTTATCTTGCTCGAGGTATGTGGGATAAAGCTACTATGAAAAGGCCAAATACGTTGGAAGGGGCGAAGCGGGCTGCTATGAACGCAGAGAGCTGGGGCCTGATTGGCATGGGGATTTACATATCTCGGGAGTTGGGAATTTCCAAAATCCCTATTCCACAGGTAGAGAACTCAGCATGGGCGCCGGAGTATGATACATGATCTACCTTAGGTAGTTGTCGGATTGGAAGCCCAATTCGACCTCGAGTCAGAGCAACCGCAGGAGCCACCAACAGCCACTTTATTAGATTCCACCTGCCCAGGTAACCTACAGTCAGAACCTCTCTTTTCCAACTATGCAGAGATAATCAATATACTGTTAATTGACCCTTCGTCACCCCTCAAATCCACTAGTTCGAACCAACTCCCCTGTGATATAGATACTAACACTAATCAGTGGTTAAATTCCACTATCGCAGTCAGCAAGGCATCTCGCTGAGCAGAAGAGACGACTCTCTAATACCGCACGGGATAGAGGAATCGTGCTCCCTTAAACTCTCGCGAGAGGAGGCGTCCATCACGTCAGCAACGCCTTCGACGGTCTACCGACAGAGACCCCCTAGGGCGCCCATCGGCCACCGAAGGAATCCTTCCTTCTACACCCCGCTCGCGGCGAGACCGCGACCTCGACCTCAACCTCTCCACCTACACCAACTGCGGCTGGATCGCGCGACAATCCTACCCATTTCCGCGGCCCGCGAATTACACCCGCGACGAACGAGCCCTCGATCAGGGTATAAAAAGGACACCGCGCGACCGAGAGAGAGAGAAATCCCCAAGCATCGTACTCCCGCTTCTTGGGTAGGTGACAGTGCTGTCGAAGACAACCTTGACGATAGGCGACGCAAACGATACCGCGTCGACGAGCCAACAGCGCGATACCTCTCGATTGGAAGCAGATCACCGACCAGCGGTGATTCGTCTGACGAACGTATATATCTCCCGGGTGTCTACTTGGGGAGAAACACCACGTGATCAAGACGTTGTCAGGCTACCCGCAATCTTCTCCGACGAAGTACGAGTAGACCGCGCAATTCGAGCAAGAAGGAGGCCGCGATGGCTGGGAACTCAGCAGGAGGCCCATCTACGACCCCAGGAATGAACACGAAAAGGACTACAAGGCAGCTAGAGGAGGGGGGGATCGCGCAGACCCCAACAGATGGATCGAGCGACGACAGTATACACTTCCATCGAGCGGGTCAGACTCTAGCCCGTCACAAGCTAATAGGACGGTTGCCTAAAGTTCCAGCATTGGCCACAGCCACGAGCGAGTCAAGTATCATCGCCCCAACAGTGCCTATCCTAGACCGATGGGTCACGAGCAATATCCATACCTACTGCAGAAAATTCTAAAGAATGTAGCAACACTTATCCCGCACTGTTATGCTGCTAGCGGCCAAACTGATGATCTGTCAATAATCACCTGAACCCTGAATAACTAAGCCGGGGCCTAGGAAACTATGAATATCACGGGACCAGACACGGACCTCGTGCAAGGTTGGTGTTGGGGGTATCGCGAGTCAAGACAAGCCTTTTTTCTTAGCAGCGACGCGCTGCCTGCCCAGCGCGTTTCTTCTTTCCGGTTGTTCATGCTACGTCTTGTATCTAGACCTGAACCTCCAGTATGAGCACCAAATCTATCTATCGATTCACCCACGGGACCTGAAACCCTCACACACATATAGTCTCCCCCTTTTCAAAGACTCTCAATGTTTTCACAGTCATAAAACGTCAAAATCTGGTTCCAAAATCTACAGTAATAGCAATGACCGCTTATGTTCCTGACGTGGAGCATAACGACAGTGCGAACAGGCGGGCAAAGAAGATAGCTACACTTGACAACGGCCATTTCCGGCTATGTTCATCATCTTAAGCCCCCTAGATACCACATCATTGAGGGTATACAGTCGGTTTTCCCAAAGTATGGGACCATGTAGGGCATGCTCGGAAATTCCGTGAGTCTTTCCGAAGAGGAAGCTACATTTGCTCCAAATCCGTCGCGTTTCCAGTTCATGGCGGAGGCCCACCGTGACCTACAGTCGCGACCGAGATCGGTTTCCGGCTTTCCCAAGTTTTTTAAACTAGAGCTGTCAATGGATTATGTTGCTGACGAAGCAGGAAACCTCCAGGCCGTGGTACCTGTCGCGTGGACCTGCGATACTTGGCTGTAAGATCCAGAAACAGCTGCGGCCATTATTCTGCGGACCATTTCGGTCAATTCACAGCTTGTGCTCGGCTGTGGAAGATCAGAGTGACCTCAAAAGCAGACCCACGGTGAAGACCTGCTTACGCTTCTTCGCGCCATGGTTCGTGGCAACACACATCTCGATTATTCACCCTAAGCTACTTTTGGCTTCTGATTGCCGTCGAAGAACCAGCAGCCTAATCCGTCCGTTTCCAGTCCTCGACCGTCCCAAGCGTTGAAAAACGTCTTTTCAGACAGTAGATCCTGAAGCTAATGCGTACTTGAGCCACTTGGTTCTCTAGTGGCAAAACGATTATACTAGAGGCTCCCTTCAACAAGAGTGGAGGGCAGCTTCTTCGTAACCAGTCGATCAAGCTTGTACCGAAGGGTTCGTGTCCAAAAGGCATTCGGGGCGAGAACAAGATCTAGTTCGCTGTCTCTGGCAACTAATTTCTTGTCCGCTGTCAACTTCCATTCGACAGATGGTGCATGCAAGCATGCGGCTGCTCCTCGTAGAGACCATTTTCATTCCAGTCATCCAGCTGCAACAGAGGAAGTCTGTCGCCGCCAGTTGGCGTCTGGCTTGGACTCCGTGCGGAGACGGTCTGGATGTCCTCAAATTGATCTGCCGCGGGGCTAAGAGTTGCATACTGGCCTCCATCAGAAACGACAAGATCTGGAATTTCGTCCCACGGATCAAAAGTGAACCAGTTAATAAAAGAATTCAAAAAGGGGAGTAAAGGGATAAGATCAAATATATTAATTATTAGTAACTTATCAAGAAAAACCTATTAAGTATAGTACTCTTTATAATTAAATTGATTAATATGTCGGAAAGTGGACCCCTGAATACCGAAAGGGTTACAAGAGTAACCGCAGCCAGCTGCATTGTCACCACTAATGGATGAACAGTCCAGTGGGCGTTGTGGCAGAGTGGTCTAATGCGCAAGACTAGAAATCTTGTTCCTTCGGGAGCGTCTGTTCGAATCAGGCCAACGTCGTCTTTTGCTTTTAGTTATTGTAACTTCTTACCTTATTTTCTCTTTGGCAATGCCTGTGAAATTCTGCAAGATTACTCCGTAGAGTGGTGTGTTTTGAGTAGCGTGTGGGATTACGTAAGAACCTGTCTGGTGTTTTAGCGCCTATGAAGGATTCGGTTCCTTGGTTTCTAACCCGCCTGGGATTGGCGCATGCATTTGTAAGCGGGGTCTCCTCAGACAACCTCTCAGCTTCAGGCTGCCAGCCTCATCTGTCTGACTACTTGACCCCTTGCAAGTGAGCTTGACGAGTTTGCCCCATCATGCTCTGCTTTTCTTTCCAAGTCCATTGTAGTGCGTTAGTTCATAGCGCATCGAGTGAGAGAACCTCGGAAAAGACACAGACGCACTTGCTGGTAGTTGACGCAAAAGATGGAGACATCGAAGGCAAAAAAAGTCAGAAGGAGAAAAGTGAGTGGTCCGACATTGATGCCTGTTGAGCCAGATTGCAATAACTCGCGTCGATGCATAAAGTACATGTACTAATAGCAAGCTGGAACATGACAGGCTTGTGACTCGTGCTATCATAAGAAAATCAAATGCGATGCTAAGCAGCCACGTTGTTCAGGATGTGAGCTGTACGATTCGGAATGCACTTACACTGGCCCGACGAGGGCGAACGCCGCGAAATCCCTCCAGTAGGCCCTCATTTCAAGTCTTTCGTAGAAGGGATTAACCAGCTGACGGAACCCAAGAGTCAAGAAGATTGAGATGCTGGAAGCGAAAATAGCACAACTTGAGGCCCAAAACGGCCCAAAGCAACCCGTGCCCCAGGCAGACAATCTAGATTTCGCTCTGGCATCAATGGAGCCGGGCTCAGATGAGGACCATCATCTCTGGGCTGCAAACCTCGGCTCACCACTCAACGAGTCACCCGACTCCTCCACCAACCCGGGTTCCAGCATCTCGGGACAAGAGTCCAGCAAAACACTCCCGCCCCTGCGCGAGATCCTCCCTTCAATAGAAGACTACTTCCAGTACTCGAACCAAGTCCTCCCGCTGTTTGAGCGAGAAAGCTTCATCAAGATGTTGCGCGGTTGGTACGCGTATCCAGCGCACCGCAAACCGGACGTCTGGGCCGTCATCAACGTCGTCCTGGCCCTCGCGCATCGGCATTCTTATGCGTCCAGCTACGAAGAGACGCAGAACATGCAGCGGTACATCAACAATGTTCAATCAGTTCTAAACAAATTGATCATCAACGAGCCGAGTATGCTAGTCCTGCAGACTCTGCTTGGACTGGTTCTTGTTTTCCATGGCTCGTCGGACCAGGGCCCGGCGTCGATACTCATAGCGACTGCTATGAGACTATGTCAGTGTCTCAGACTTCCCACAAAGTCCACGGGTCAGGACTTCGAGCCGGCTGAAGCTCTTCAGAGGAGTCGCGTCTTTTGGATCGCCTTCATTCTGGACCGCGACCTGTCCATGAGAACAGCGCAGCCACCTATCCATCAAGATTCGGACATCGACCTGGATCTCCCGTCTCAAAATCCTCCGGATGATGCAGGTCTGATTTTGGGCTTTTCGGGGCAAAAGTTCAACTACTTCCGCAGTTCCGTTCAGCTCGCCTACATCCAGGGGAAGCTATACCATATGCTCCTCTCCGTTCGTGCGCTCAAGCTTACAGAACACGAGCGCAGTCAGAACATGATTTGTCTCCGAGCAATGCTGGAAAATTGGCAGAGCTCGATACCTATCGAATTCCAGCCGGAGCTAGCAGCAGCCACCGTAGCCACGGAGTACCTCCGATACATATGTCTGCTATACTACACCCACCTGCAGCTCATTTCGACGACGCATTACGCTGACTCGCACCACCTCGAGTGGCTCCAGGAGCTGCTCAATTGTAGTAAAGGGCAGGTTCCGGCTGCGCGGTCTGACTTGACCACGCGGCTTCCAAATTGCTGGGACCAGCTTGTCACGAGGGCACGGATTTGTATGCACCTCTATGCTGCGACACCTGAGAACGATTCTGCTCTCACTTGGTACGTGAAATTCCCTTTTTCGATTACACTGCGGACGGGGCTAAATAGTGACAATGTCCTTGTAGGCTCGTGGCGTGTGGCTACTTGACGAGCATCATGTTCATCTCGGTCAACAACTTGGCCTGTCCTGAGAACCCATGTCGACTTACTGATCAAAGTAACGTCGAATCAGCCTTGCTACTCCTCGAGCGTCTCATCAAGGCCACAGACGATGGAAGGCTCAAGAGAATCCACAGCGCTTGCAAGGAGATCAACGAGAAGGCACGGCTCGTTGTCCCGTCAAGTAGACCATATGATTTTTTACACTGCATCGATCCACCTGGACTCGAATTCGGAGACGAGGACCCTCTTAATGACGGCCGTTGGAGGCTGGAAGACGGCAGTTTCTGGATCATGGATGGGAATGGCGCAATATGATTTGGGTTGCTCAGAGAAACGAACCTTCAAGAGACGAGCGCCTGTTCCCAAGTACAGCAGTAGATGAATTCCAAAGAACAGAATCATGAGGTTGGAGTGGAAATGACGACGAAGGACAGAGGAAGTAGCGGCCTAGCATTGTCTGAGATGTTGTTGCTCCCGATTATGGCGAATCTTGATATCTCTTTGCCCGTAATGCAACGTGCCTTAAGATGCGGATTTTGGATACCAATTGAAGAAACAAACGGAAGAAATTTATGCATTTTGAGTCAGTGTTCGACTTGCATTTGACAGAAGGTGCCTTCTGGTGCCGGCCCTCGCTTCCTTCCCAAAAGACCACCCTCCCTCCTTCCTACCCCATCTTCTTCTGCCTCGCCATCCTTTGAATTCTCATGAAAATATTCTTCTCACCACTGAGTCCCCAATTTCATCTTCTCCCGACCACAGTCAATTCCCAAACCTCTCGAGAAGAATGACCAGCTCTGAAAATCTCCGCGTCGCCGCTGGCATTTCTCTTCCTGTCGATGTCGACAAGGACAACCCGGCCTCGTTTCTCTCAGTTCCGTGAGTGAAGCTGTGCAGCAAACCAAAGCGAGATTTTCACCTTCCTTGTCAACTAATTTATCTTTATCCAGGGATTCCGACGAGCTTGTCACCCTCAAATCTGGCGGAGAATGCTTCACCTTTAGCAAGCCCGAGCTGGTCAAAGACTCGGAATACTTCAGAGCATGCCTCAGCAATCCTGCCTTCATTGAGAGCAGAACTTCCACCATCGAATTTTACGATATCGTGCCAGAGGTTCTCGAAGGCTACCTCCACATCGTTAATGCTACGGCTACTGGCAAACCCATCGAAACAGCGTTCATCTTGGCTAGCAGCGAAAAGCCTAGTGAAGCTTCAGCTGGTCTCATCTTCATGATCAAGGTTTACAGATTGTGCGACCGATTCTTGAACCAAGTCATCATTAATGAACTGGGCCAGTTCATTGTGAAGTACATCCAGGAAGTTATGATTGCCAAGGTGGACAGGTCGACCCCGGAGGGAGTCAAATGGCTGGTGAACACATACAAGAACGCCTATAATGCCTTGGATTCGAGCAACACCGATCAGGCAAGTCTCCAATTCCGGATTGCAGACACCTGCGGTCGTACAATTGCCTTGGATGAAATCTACGACGTTGCCGACACCTCCTCCCAGAGCAAAGATTTCGTCAAGGCCGTGCTCTCGGCCTCATCCCGACGCACCGTTAAACTGTCGCACAAGGTGTGTGCTCTCCAGAAGGATAAGAAAATCCTCAAAAAGAAGCGGGTCGACCTCAAAAGAAAGAATAAAGCACAGGCTTGGGACATTTTAGAGCTTCTGTTGACAATGCGCAATTACGCAGCAGCATTAAACCACATCCGCAAAATCTCTCCTATTATCGAGCCTGACTCTGACTCTGACGAGGAAGATGACGAAGATGACGAAGATGGCGATGATGGCATGAATGAAGATGAAGCTCATCACTCGGATATTGACTGAAGGAAGTCATGTTGAAAGCAGGGAAGGCTTTGAGGCTGTGTAGTCTGTTAACATGTTGCCTTAAATCAACTCAATAGACTAGCACTTTCCCGTGCACATTCTTCACTTTCTTGGAACTTTCAAAGCTTTCTGGAAAACCATGATGCCTAAAATGATAAGGACTCAAACATCGCCCCCATCCCTCGCGACCTAGTTCCAACTCCCAATCGTCTTTCAAGGCACTCCAAATAGTTGTTTTCTCCATCAATATCTTCAAAAGCAAGGGCGGTGAGTCTCTTGAGAGGCATTCATACGCAGAGACTGATGGTCTCGCAAAGTTGCGTACGCGGTCTCTATACAATTGTACAGAGAATTCAGCCAAGAAAATTGACAGCAACCACACACACTCTCTCTCTCTCTCACTTCCCCTACGACGTCTTCAAACTGACAAACCATCGAAATATATGCGCCACCGTTTCGGGCTGTGCATTAGCTTCGAAATGGTCACTGAACTCATTTTTTCCAAATCAAGTACAAACAATCATAAAATAATCCTTGGGAGAAACCAATATCATTCGCAGCATTGCAAAGGATCGCGTCTAACTGACGCAATATTCCGCATGCCGAGTACCCGCCTACTCCAATGCCGATAGCAAAGTAAGCACTTGCGCTGCGGACTTGGTGCGAATTCCTTCTATTTCGGACGACTTGGGTTGGAGGAAGCAATGGAAAGGAAAAGGGCCTCATTAATAGTGCATCGGTTAGTTACACTGCATTTCCGCAACTGGAATATCACATGCGGATCCTTGGCTGCTTGCATATGAAGCCAACAGACTGTCCTGCAGCTTACTCTTCCGGATTCCCAGCAGGAGGGGCATGTTGCAACCTGACTCGAAATAGTAATTATGAAGGCATGCGGAACTCCCTTCGATTCTGGATCCGCTTGCTTATAACGCGACATTGGCTGCCCGAGTTCTTACCCGGTTTGTAGTGATGAAGTTGCGATGAGGGGTACACACTTGGCATGAACTCGCCGAGATGATGAGACGTGGCGTGCCGTCTCCCCCGCACAGAATTCAAAAGATGATGGATGATATTTGCGCGTTCAGGCTTGCTTATGTACTTTCGATTTCCCCAAGTGTTTTGTTTCTTTGTCGATGCTCTTTTTACACCATCCACGGACATAGCCTAGTTAGCAACTTAGCAGTATGGCATACGTGTGTCTGATCCCGCTGGCAATTGTTGCAATTGTCGTCTTCCAGTTGCGGAATGTCGGCCGACGGCCCAAGAACTATCCTCCAGGTCCTCCTGCTTTACCGCTGATTGGCAATCTCCACCAGATTCCATCAACACAAGCGCATCACCAATTTAAGAAGTGGGCTGAAGAGTATGGGTATGTTCAGCCAGGCACTTACCTAACTAACACAAAGCAGAAGATATGAAGCTGTACACTGACAATGACATCGCGGACAGCCCAGTATACTCGCTCATTCTCGGCACCGAAGTCATGATCGTGCTCTCATCCGACAGGGCGGTGAAGGACCTCTTGGATAAACGCAGTGGCATCTACTCCTCACGCACCGATTTGTACCTTGGAAATGTAGTCAGCGGTAATCTCCGTGTCGTCATGATGGTGAGCTGCTATGCGCATCCGATGTAAGAGAGGTATGCTATTGATCGCAAGAGCTGACTGAACAAAAGAAATACGGCGAAACATGGCGCATGATCCGAAAGATATTCCACCAGGTCCTGCACATCAGTGCCGCCAAGGGCTACGTCCCGTACCAGGATCTCGAAAGCAAGCAGATGCTGTCCGGGTTCCTGGACGAGCCGGAATACTTTGTCGATCACATCCGCCGATTCACAACTTCGCTGACGACGCAGATGGTATTTGGGTTCCGCACTACGAGTATCCACGACGAGAAGCTGAAGAGGTTGTACCGCTGCGTTGAGAGGTGGAGCGAGGTCGTGGGTTCTTCTGCGGCCGCTCTCCTGGACGTGTACCCGCCACTCCGGAACCTGGGGTCCCTATCGCCTGGGAAAAGATATGCTGAAAAGCTTCATAAGGAGGAGAGCACTCTGTATGTCGGTCACTGGATGGATGCGAAGAATCGCGTTCTCAAGGGTACGGCAAAGGTGAGCATTGCCTAAGATCCATGAGGCCATCAAGAATGCTGACCAAGGCCAGCCCTGTTTCTGTATGGGTATCGTAGAAAGCCAGAAAACCCTTGGCTTCTCCGACTACTTGGCCGGATACATCTCTGGGTCTGCCCTCGAGGCCGGGTCAGACACCACCGCCTCCACGCTGACCGGATTCGTTCAGGCCATGGTTCTGCACCCCTCCGTGCAGAAGCAGGCCCAGGACGAACTGGACCGCGTCTGCGGCACAGAGAGACTCCCAACCATGGACGACTGGGACTCCATGCCCTACATACGGGCGTGCATCAAGGAGTCGTTGCGGTGGATGCCGACGGCGATCCTCGGCCTGCCGCACGCCGTCACCCAGGACGACGAGTACATGGGCTACAAGATCCCAAAGGGGGCCGGCGTCATGCTCAATGTGTGGGCCATCAACATGGACGAGAACAGGTTCGCCAACCCCCGCGCTTTCGACCCTTCTCGCTATGAAGGCGATGATCAGAACTCGTTCGAGTCGGCAATGAATGGCGACCCGTCGAAGCGCGACCACTACGTGTTTGGCGCCGGCCGGCGTCTCTGCCAGGGGACGCACATTGCCGACCGATCGCTGTTTCTGAGCATTTCGAGGCTGTTGTGGGCTTTCAACCTCGACAAGGCTGTCGATGCTCAAGGGTTCGAGGTTACGCCGGACGCGGACGACCTCACCGACGGGTTACTGGTGCAGCCAAGGCCATTCGCCGCAAAGATCACGCCGAGAAGCGATGCTCATGCGCAGATTATCCGCAGGGAATGGGAGGCAAGTCAGGCGCTTCTAGACCAGGATAAACAGTGGAGAGAGGTCCCGAGCGGGATGGTCTTTGAGTCTCTAGCATCGTCGGACATTAAAGAATGAACTCAATCGAGGCTTGGGAATGGATAAATAAATAACCTGTCCATGGACATCACGTAGACACAATTTCTGGGTAGCTCCAGATGACCTGACGAACTGTGAAGTGTCCATTTTTTTTTTTTTTTTTTTTTCATTTGTGATCTTCATAAGATTTGGAAACATCGCCGTGCTCTAGCTGGTGGGCATCGGAGTCTCGGAGCAACGCTCATGCTTTGAACTTTTCAGGGGCCCTCTCCTCGGCCTGGTCCTGAGGAACAGCCTTCGCCTTGCCTCGCCCGGGCGCGGCCTCGAACTTGTCTTTCCACTTACCCTCTTGGTTGAACATGGTGAGGCACTGGATCGCCGACGGCTTGCCATATTCCGGATCAGCACCCCCCTCCAGAAGGACCTATCAGAGCCCATGTTAGCAACAAGACCAGCCAACACCGTGACGCACCCTCATTGCCCAGACGAAAAGGACCGAGGTAGACGTTGTGGCCTGCCTACTTACCTCAATTACTGCATCCAGACCCTTGAAGACAGCGCCAGCGATTGGACTCTGACGCTTGTCATTCAGTCTGTTGGGGTCAGCTCCATGTTGAATCAGAAGCTTGACCACGTCCGCATGGCCGTAGTAAGCGGCCAACATCAGCTGCGCGGAGACGTTAGCCACGAAGTCATTTATTGAAGCAGTGTCATGTCTCCAGCCCGGACGCTGGAGACCGGGCTTCTCTCGCCCGGGAAAGCCGCTAAGAGTGAGCATAGCCACGCACCAAGGTGTCTCCTTTCTCGTTCGTCAGGTTGGGTGGCAGCCCATCGAGAATGCCCTCCTCAATGACAGCCTTGTTGCCTTCGCGGGCTGCATTGTACATGCTGGCCGCCAGCTTGACGGCCTCTAGCGACGGCGAGAACGCCGTAGCGGACGTCAATGTGCTTCCGCTCATGTTGTTTCGATGGTTTAGCGAATTGCGCAACCGCTCCGAATGGGCTAGCACTTAGTAATGCTTATAATGATAGTGGTTCCCCGCGGCGGAGGGCGACACTAGAATGAATAAGACAAGCGAGGTTGTCCCCAGCGCCTGCTATCCGGTGAGGTCGGGGGGGGAATGTTCGAGAAATGGTTAGTAAGCTGGGCCGTTGATTGGCTCGGGCTGGTAGAGACTCCGTGCATCACCGCAAGCGGTGGTTGCAGAGTGCGAGTATCCGTAAATGTCCCACTCTTCCTCTCTAAAAATAATAAGAACAATAGCCTTTGCTATATGATCTGCATAATGCTCGCTTTCGGGTCGTCTCGAGTTTGCTCCAAGCAGAACTTTCACTGAGCTAACCAGTGTGTGTGTGACTTTTGCTATCCAGCCGTTCTTGATTGCCAACTGCGTCAATTGCCCGACTGTGAATGGCGCTGCCGTCATCAGCTGATTGCGCCGCTGTTTTTAATTGATTGCGCTGCTATCAACTGCGTCAGCTGCATTGATTGCCCAAACGTCAATTGGATTGTGCTGCTGGTAATTGCTGTTGGCTCGATGCGACGCTCTCATTGGCACAAAGTTAAAACAGGCGGACAAATTCACAGATAGCAAAACCAGTATTCGTTGTCTTCCCTCATGCGTGGACCATTTTTGACAGACGGCCAGAAATCTCAACACAGACAACGGAAGCGTGCCAAATCAAAGCCATGGATGCTTTTACTCCCGCAGTCCGCATCAATGTAGATTGAGGGCGCTAGCGTGGGACCGGGATATGATGAACTCAAATAGTTGATCTTTCGAGAAAGCTTAAGAATTCAGCAATGCAGCACATCGAGTACACGCTGAGCAATAGAAATTTCAGCCTGTCGATGTTGTTCGAATGCCATTGGACTTGTCTGCAAATACGCTCCTCTCAGTAACCAAAATCAAATCGCCTGTATTTCAAAAGATTGTGAAGAGACTCCCAGTGCTTCCCTATGTCATACCATCTCGGACGATCTTGAGTATAAGCGCCCCAATACATTGAAAATCATCAAAAAGGAAGCTTAATGAAGTTCACCTGTATCAGTAGCAAGATCGACACTAGTCAATGGAGCCCTGATGTTCCAACCAGGGCAATACCGCCAGTCATGGCAGCATCGTCGGCAGCTTAATTTCATCTTCAGCATCGGCATAGCGTCGTTTCGGTGGCTTCCTACCTACGCAGCAAACCTGGTTGCCGGAGCAGGTTTCCACCTATCTAGTACCAAGGGCTTAGATATTAGCTGTTTGATTGCTAAATACCGATTCGGGAAGGGCAGAAAGCGGGCAATTTTAGTACAGGTGTTGATTTGAAACTTTTATAATGTAATAGGTAACATTATATCATCCCTAGTCACGTTTGATTCGTTGTGTAACTTGAATAGCTACCGGTAGCACATTGACTTCGGGTGGCAGACCCCTCTTGGGAAGTAACTACATGTATTTTTGAGATGAGTTGTTTGGGATGAAACTGCCGGTGCCGTCGATACCGATATGACGAAAGGCGTTCCCTCACTGGACTCACTTTGTCATTGGTGTTGGTTTCCAAGCTCCTGCTCGCCACAACCAAGCGATCCTACCGTCTTCTCTCACGCTTCGCGCTCCTATCTCACTTGGTCATACACCGTAAAACCCACCAACCAGCTCATAACCCAGTAGGTAATCTTCTTCCGCCATTTAAAACCAAGGTCTATTAATCATCTCTTCCTCATCTAGTCTCAATCATGGCCGAAATTATTGAAGATAACAGCGAATCCCGCTGACTCTCGGTAAGCTGCCTCTGGCAGCCCCATGTTTAGTCAAGCAAGACCGGGCGGTTTTCCAGCATGGTCAGCGGCACAGCCGAAAAAAATTCAGAGTTTCCCGACGACGTCGACCTGGTTCTGCCCGGAATAAGGAATTTTTTGAAGAACATGGGCAATATAATCGGATGGCACATTTCTTTCGGGCATCACATCCAGGGTGCCTATTATCCCACCATCGAGACTGAAGACATAGAAGCAGTGCTTTCCAGTGAGGTCCTTCCTCGGCCCAACTTTGTGAAGTAAAATCCAACTGTTGGCGAGTCCCGAAGTTAAAAGTTATAGCAGCAGGACAGGACATTCCACGCCCTCTTCCCCATCTACAGCGTCCCCTCAGTCGTTCGGTTTCTGTGAATCAAATTGCCTAATGTTTGTTTGGTCGTTCTGTCGAGTTGGAGATATGAGGTACTGTAGTGTTGTTGATCTGGATCATCCTTTTGGTTTCTGCTGCATCAGAGACTCTCGCGATACTCAAGGGTCCATATGCCAGAGAAGAGGACCGAGATCTTGCGATAGTCTCGATTGATGGACCCGCTGACAAGCCCAGGAGTCGAAGCCAGAGGTGCGCTGAGTTTCAAAACGCTGTTATAATTCATGGGTATCAAATGCACCGTATCTACCGTCCCACAATGCCCCTTCACTTCGCTCTAACCTTTCGAATAACGACCCTCGCCCCATCAAGCTCCCAGCCAACCCCGTGATCTCGCGTCAACGACTCCCAGCTCTGCCCAGAACACTTCTCCAACCACTCCCGATCGACGCCCAGATAAGTCCTCCCAAAACACTTTAGCACGTGCGTCCGCATATCGCCCTCTGCAAACTCGAGCAACTTCGCCCGGTGCCCGTCGACGCTCCTCTGCACCCTCCTAAACGCCACATAATTATCGTGCGCCAGCGCCCCCAGAACGGTATCCACCTTGGCGTCGCGGAGTTTATACCGGTGCCGTATCGCGTAAGCCTCCGCCAGGTCGCCGCGCCGACACGCCGCGTCGAGGACGAGGTAGCTCAGCACCTCTTGCAGCTCCACGCTGGTCAGGTTGCGCGCCGGGTGTATCGTGCGCAAGACGTGGAGGATGGCCGGATGGTAGGATTCCGGGTGCTTCACGAGGACCGAGAGGCGGATGTTGAATAGGTAGGCCTGGATCGCAAAGTCGTCGACGCGTTTCGAGGCCACGATACCCTCGCGGAGCTTGCGGAGCGCCATCATGACGTCGGATAGCGCCTTTGTGCTGCTCGGATCGTCTAGTCTGGGAGAAGAGGCGGCTGAGACGGAGGGGTAATCTACGAGGTCGAGGGAGTCGAAGCGACGGAGGAGCTCGTCGCGCTCGCCGGCGTCTGAGCAGAAGGTCATGTAGCGTTCGACAATCTTTGTGTAGTACTGTTCTTGCGTCTTGAACCCGAGGAGTCTGGATAACGGTGTGGGTTAGCACAGGCCATTGACGTGCAGAGCTGAGATTGGGTTCGCACCTGGTGTCACCCTTTGAAGGGAGACCGTAGTTGTCCAGAGGATCCAAGTCGACGGGCTTCAGTCTCCCCCACGGCCCTGAATGAGACCTGCCACCTCTACCCGGACCCCCGCCGCCGCCGCCGCCTCCGCCGTTTCCTCCTCTTCCTCCTCCTCTACCGCCACGGAACCCTCTTCCACCTCCGTGCCCTCCCCCTCTTCCTCCTCGACCTCCGCTGGTTGACATGATTGTGGATTGGTGGGATTCGAAGGTTGTCGTGGCGGGGTGTTGGGACGGCCTGTCGCAGTAGGCATGTCGTCAAAACAGAGACAGAGACATCCCACCTTCCCTTTATCTTATCTAATCCCCGACCGGGGACGCCAAGGCTCGAGCTTGGGTGCCACCAGAGCGCCGCTTCCACGAATTGATGCGAGGAATCCAGTTGCTTCTTTCGGTGGCCATGTTGTACTTGTTGACATTCTCCAATGAACAGGGTGTTTACACAGCTAGCCAGGAGTTGCCTCAATTACCTTCCATTGACATCTCAGATACAGTGGTAATGCAATGCACAAAGCGATTTCGTCGCCTGGGCCTGACGGCGCTACCCCACTACCGGTACCTCGTCACCTCGTCTAGGGCCGGGAATGCGAACCGCGGGGAACCTCGGCAGCCCAGGGGCCTTCACCCTGGAGATCCAATAATATACTTCCAGAGCTATCCCCCAGGTCTCAGTTTTGCATCTATTTTATATTGAGTAAGGTGGTAACTTATCTCTCGAGCTGACAAGCGTCTAACTTGTTTTGATCAATTGGGAATCATCGCACACTTCTTGACCATCGCCAACATGTCGGACCGCGTAGCACAAATCGCATCTCACCTCAACTACCCCAAGGGTATGCTCGCCGGCCAAGTGGCCATCATCACCGGCAGCGGACAGGGAATCGGCGCCGAGGCGGCACGACTCTTTGCCAACGAGGGCGCAAAGGTTATCGTTTCCGACATTGACGGCAGTATGACTTTCCAAAAGCTCAACCAAAGCTCTCCCTCTTCGGCTTTTTCACAAACTAACAACCCACAACAGAAAAGGCACAAGAGGTCGCAGACAGCATCAATGCCGCAGGCGGTAAAGCCATCAGCGTCCCCGGCGATATGCTGTCTGCAGACTACATCACCACCCTCGTCGCCAAGGCAGCAGACTTTGGCGGGGGCAAGATCCACCACATTGTCAACAACGCCGGCTACACCTGGGACGGCGTCATCCACAAGATGACGGACAAGCAGTGGGACACCATCATCGCACTGCACTCGACAGCGCCCTTCCGCCTCGTGCGCGCCGCGGCCCCCTACTTCCGTGTCAAGGACGGCGAGAACCGCTGCGTCGTCAACATCAGCTCCACCTCGGGCGTCCACGGCAACGCGGGCCAGGCAAATTACGCCATGGCCAAGGCCGGCGTCACGGGCCTGACAAAGACGATTGCCAAGGAATGGGGGCCCGCGTTCGGCGTGCGCGCCAATACCGTCGCCTTTGGGCACATCAAGACACGGTTGACGGATGCGAAGGAGAAGGGCGCCTTTATTACCGGGCCGGACGGCGAGAAGATCGCGCTGGGGATCCCCCAGGCGCAGAAGGGGGCTAACCAGGACGCGCACGCTGATATTCCGCTGCGTAGGCCCGGGACGCCGACTGAGGCGGCCTCGGCGGTGCTTGCTGTCGTTAGTCCGCTGTTCAGCTACGTGAGTGGTCAGACGATCATGGTCACGGGTGGTCGCAACATGTAAAAGCTATCTTGGTGAGGATGTAGTTATCTCAGGGGAGAGGCAACCCATCACAACACTGAACAAAATGTAGATTCATGCGACTTGCTCATAATTAGGTATCGGTACTTTGGATTCCCGTCTCCCCTCAACGCCCAATTCATGCCAAATGTGTCCAGCAGCAAACAAAAATTCTCGGTATCGTGTCACTTCTATTTTCTCTCCCAACTCTTTTCCTTGTCGTTTGATTCCCAAGGAGTCTCCTCTCTTAGACTTTGGCCCACAGTGACAGCACGCCCTTGGCGTACTCGACAATCTCGTCACCGCCGAGCTTGCTGTCGCCGTAGACGCGGTCGACAAAGGTGATGGGCACCTCGGCGACAGAGCAACCCATGGCCTTAGCGCGGACCATCATCTCCATCTGGAACGTGTACCCCTTACTCTCGGTGCTCGAGATGACCCTGTCGAGGACGCTCTTCTTGTAGAGGCGGAAGCTGCCGGTCAAATCACTAACGCCGGGGCGCAGGACGGTGTCGGCGAAGAGGTTGGCGCCGCGGGAGACGAACTTGCGCTTGAGGTCCCAGCCGTAGACGCCGCCGTTGCCGGCGTAGCGGGTACCCGTGACGATGTCGTAGTTGCCCTCCTTTTGGCGGGCGATCATCTGGGGGATGAATTTGGGGTGGTGGGAGAAGTCGGCGTCCATGATGATGACAAAGTTGCCCGTGACGAACTGCAGGCCGTGGACGTAGGCGGTGCCGAGACCCAGCTTGCCAGTGCGGGTTTTGAGGACGACGTGCGGGGCGTAGGCCTTAACGAGCTGGTTGGCGACATCTTGGGTGCCGTCGGGGGAGCCGTCGTCGACGATGATGAGTTGCCAGTCGAGCTTGCTGTAGAAAGGTTGGGCATCGTCAGTAGATATACGTTGACAGGCAGCGAGGTATGGAGAGAGGGGAAAGGCAAATGAGGCCAGGAGGGAGAGAGCGTCCTTACTGCTCGGTGAAGGTGCGGTTCAGCAACCAGGTGACAATGGGCAGGTTGCGACGCTCATTGTAGGTCGGCAGGATGACCGAGTACTTGTTAGCTGTCATTATTACGGTCGGAATAAAGTCTTTGAATCAAAGAGTTGGAGGTTGAAGAGAAGAGGTACGAAAGGTCGAATCTGGCTTGGCGGAAAGGAGCGTGGTGAAGTTGGCTGCGCGTTGGGGTGAAGCATTTCGGCGATGCTGTCTGTCCTTTGGCGGTGGAATGCCATTCGGCACCTTGAGCGGTTGATGACTAAGCTCTGCCCTGCCCCTGAATTCTACCTTACCTTAGGGGGGGAACACAGGGCGGGACACTGGAGCACCAGACATGACGACCACCACAGGGTTGGGTTAAGTCCCTGAATGGACGACACATGCGACAATAAGTTCATCGTCATCTTTCCGATGAGCTTCAAGCGGGTATTTGGCGGTGTTACGACGACAACATATTGAAAAAAATAAAGTAAACCAATTAATTTCTATGTAGTTTTGCTTTGTAGCTAAGCCTGTGACAGCTTGGTACCTTACACACTACCCAGCATCCTGCCTGAGCTTCTTGCCTGAATTGGACTAATTTCTCAAGTTTCTGCTCCAAAGAGCCAATGGGCAAAGTAAGATGCATAGAATACAGTCAGCCACTCGCATACAAAAGCTTGTGAGAGTAGAGGGGCCACAACAAAGACATTATTTCCGGTAAGGTAACTGAAGAGCGGTCGAACCTTGCGATGATGATGAGGAACATTTCGACTCATTTCAAAAGCTATCATGTCACTAAAGCAGCCACTATTCGAGTCGATGCATCTAGATTCTGGACATCGTACTGAGGTTTTTCGAGCAAGATTTAGGATGTATCAAACTGTCGTATCAATCAATAGCAAAAACCATGAACGCAAATGGCCATGTACGAAATTTCTTCAGTATCAACGGGACAAACGCCAGTGAAGCCTCGGTCAACGCATCCATATCCAGTCAGTCCTGCTGCACCTCTCCTGGGCTTTCCGGGGTAGATCACGGATGGCGTGCAGATTGTCCAGAAAGCTCAGACGTGGTTCTTCCATGCTTGGTGAGCGTTGATTGGCTGACGTAATATCGGTTGGCTGAGGGTGGAGACAGTGGCCCTGCTCTCGAGGCCAGCCATTCGTCCTTCCCCGCATCCGCCCTGCTGCACCACCGCGACGCTGCAGTTGTGCCCTGTCAAGCGTCTTCCGCCAGCCAGGAATCGATCGCATCGGGGAGTGAGTGAGTTTCTTCGGAGGTACAGTGCCTACCAAGTGTGAATACACGGCCCAAGGGACGTGACTGACAATCTTCCAGTCTCGGCGTTACAAGACGTTGAGACGGACCTGCAACTCCGTGTTATTGACGCCAAAGAGCTCTGTGCCTCCGTCACACATGGACTTGTTCTCTCACACTCGAGGAAACATTTATCAGATGTCATTGAACGGTATCAAAGGTGGCAGAGGGGAAAACCTTTGGCGTGCGCTCGTTCTCGTGTTGCTCTCCACGGCGTCTGCTCGCCTCAGCAGACAGGATCCGGAATTCGGGAGAGGAGGGCTCAGGATGCCCAGCTTGCCAGCTCTAGCTGGTGACTAGGCCGCATTCGGATTGGCCGGATCTTAACCGGGGCTTAGCTCGGAAGCTCTGCAACATCCCAAGATCGCCAGTCGCCAGGTTTGGCCATCGGCGACCGTGGAGCTCGCAGTCACGTCAGATTGACATGACGGTCCAAGGTTCCTCTCCACCCAGTTTGCCGCGAGGGGAACCTTGCTCCTCTTGGCCATCTCCTTACGTATGTAGTACAAGCTCGCAGCTTCACTTTTGTCGCTCGAGGTCCGCTCCCTGCTATCCAAAGGTAGCTAAGGGTCAGCACGGCGGCAGAGCGGCCACCATCCAGCGGACCAGCGCACACACACCCTCATAGCACGGAGCTGTGAGGCAATGGGCAATGGCGTGTTCTGAGCCCGCCTTTTTCGCTGCTGATTCGTCCCAGGGAACCAGGAGCGGTCTCCCCCAATCCCATGTTTCTGTGCGAAGACTTGCTGTGTGGCTGCAGCATGGCCCAGCCGGTGAGGAGCTCCCGAGTCCCATGCTCCGACACCAACCTCACCTCTTCTTCCCTCTCCCTTCGTCCTCTGTCCTACAACAACTTCACCCTCTTCACTCCAGCTTCTCATCGCCAATCGGCACCACCACAGCCAATTCCATCATCTGTTACCATCGCCAACTCTCGAATTCGGCCATTGAGCCCATTTCCCACACCCGATTGCGACATCTCTAATCGCGCACTGTGCGCCCACCAGACACCTGTTACGTCATCGCAATGGATCCCAATCCCGTTCCTGGAGCTGTTCCAACTGCGGCTGGCATCGACAAAGGTGAGTGCAAGGTGTCAAGAAGCCCCCATGGCTGTCGCATCAACTTCGTACGGCGGCGCTGATGTTGCGTCTTGTGCTGGCCCAACATCTCCCGCTGTACCGGCGCATCATATTCCTATAGCCATGCCACACACTATGCTCGGACCCTCTTGCGCTAACCTTCTTTCCCTTTTACAGTCCCCGAGACTGTCGCAACCACCAACAGCGCGGATGACAAGTCCACAGGACTTGTAGCTCCGGAGACGAAGCCCGTCGAAAACAAGAAAGACGAGGCCGCACCCGTGCCAGAGACATCAACTGCTACGGCTGCCGAGCCCGCGAAGTCGGCGGAGCCTCCTGCGCTTGCCCCGCCGGCCGACGTGCCGGTCGATGCGCCAGCCGTACCAGCTGCACCCGAAGCTACCACCGATGCGCCAAAGCCGGCCTCCGTCGAGGAAGTCCCCGACAAGGACGGCCCAGTTGCGACGGCAGGGACTAAGGAGTCCAAGGCCATCCGCGCTGGAAAGCCTGCTGAGCAGCCGGCCGCAAGCTCCGCACTTGCCGCCGAGCCCGTCAAGGAATCCGTCGAGGAGCCTATTGCGCAAGAGCCAGTCAAGGCGTCCGCCGCCGAAGAGGATATGATCAAGGAGCCTATCACTGAGAAGCCTGAAGGCGTCAATGGCGCCGCGACCAAGGATGTTGAAATGACAGGCGCTCTCAATGACGCCGAGCCCACCGGCGCTGGGGAGCGCGAGGCCGCGCCGCAGGCCATCCCGCCAGAGGCCAAGACGGGCAACAAGCGCAAGGCGGATGAACTCGCCGAGACCAATGGTACCAACGGAACAAATGGTGCCAATGGCGTTGAGGCCGCCCTCGAGGAAAAGCCCGTGGAGAAGAAGGTCAAGAGGGGACCTGGCCGACCTCCTTCAAACGGCGCTCTAAAGCAAGCCAAGGAGAGTCCCAAGAAGGAAAAGGAATCTTTTGGTCACAAGGTCGCCAGTAAGGTCAAAAAGGTTCTGCACTCGCCGGGTCGGACTGAGCGCAAGACTCGCTCTCAAGGCCCCGTCTAAGACGACTCCGCTATGAGTCCGAGGTAACCCTATGGGGCCTCAGCTTTTCTTGGACGTCAGAGTACCACGGACTGACTACTCAAATTACAACAATGACCATGACGGTCGAGGCCTGGATTCGGACCAGCCAGGCGGGCGTCTGTCTTTCACCCCACGGATTTATGATGGGTAGGCAAAAAGGAGGCGCGGGATTTGATTTTTTTTTTTTTTGCTGCTCAGGTTGGCTTCAAATCGGCATTGGGAGATGGGAATCTAGGAAACTGTACATACTAGGACGTTTGCGCATGCAGCTTGCCAGTGGCGTCATGGCCATTCTGATGCAATGTCCAGCAGAGAGACAGATCGAGATGCGACTCGACTTGGAAACACGGAAGGTCGAGGATTGTGAAGCAGCCGTCGCGTTTACCAAGTTTCCAACCGTAGATTCCAATGGTCTTGCTCCAACGATGATGTCTTTATCTTTCACTTGTGCTGATCCCTGCGCCTTGACTTTCAATCTCGCAATCAAGGTAATGACGGAGTTCGATGTATCATAGCGTGAATCGGATCATTGACCAAGGTAGGATGATGGTCTACAACATCAAGCATGCAAGAAAAGCATGTGCATGTCGATCGATTGCATCCTATGCCGTTCTCCAACAGCTTTGCAAGGTACAAGAGGAACCCTGGTAGGATCGGATCGTCTTTGACTAAGGTAAGCAAGCATTGGGGCAGAGGGAAATGACGTCTAGAGCGGGAGGGGAGGGCTCCGGTTTCCTCGGTCCAGACCATGACAGAATCAATGGGGGTCCCTACGGGACTGCGTCACCGAGGGCCAAGGGTTTGTCGATCTATTCATTGTAGACCACGCAATGGGGGTGGACGTGGAAGAGAGGGCGAGCACATGCGTCTCTTTGTAGGCATTCTGTAACATTCTATCCGCGTCTTCAGCCCTTTCAGGATTCAGGAACGGGGGCAGGGCTGGAATGGACATGTTTTAGAGAGAGCTTTCGGGAGGTGTTGCTTGGCATGTGTCTTTGGGGCGCGAGACAGAGACACGGCTGCAGACGCGCGTGTGACGGCAACGTCTTTTTTTGGGGAGGGAGTACTCCATAACATAACGTCTATCAGATCCCATAGGGTTTCCAAAGGGAGGAATCAATGTGAGGATCCGAGGAATGTGGTTTACCGAAAACCAAGCGTTGGTTGTGTTTATTTTACGTGTTCCAGATGGGGAAAGTAAGTAAACAAGGAGCATTGACGCTAGGCGGTTTCGAGGAAATAGCTGGATCGTGGGTCGTGGGTCGTGGCGTTGCGTTGGCTGTGCGTGAGGCGGACGGTAGGGAATCGTCTTTCGGCGAGGATCACGGTCGCTCAACATGTTCAAAGTTCAAACGGCGTGGCGGCGGCGGCGGCAGTGTGGTGGGAGGCACAGTCATAGCCTGTGACGTAGGGGGAATGTACGCAAAACGGGGCCGGTTGTCTTTGTGTAGTATGCACGCTCTTCCGTTTTCATGGATTTACGGATACTTTGGCTAGCTTCCCTGGCTTCCTTGCGATGTTCTGGAAAGCGGCGGGACTCGGGAAGGGGGGAGGGGAGAAGCTGGAGGCTGGAGCATCGCTGGTCTTGGCGATGGGGGCAGGGGGGCAACGGACGGTACTCTTTTTCCTCTTTGCCTCACTTCCACTTTATCGATTAGAGCAACCAGATGTAATGGCGAGCAGGAAGCAAATTCAGGAACAGGCCTATGGGTAAGGTGGTGGTTTTGAAAGGCGTGTGGCTGGGCTCGACGGTGCTGAACCAACATGGAAGAGAATAAGGAATGCTTATTTCCCATGTCATGCATCATCCCGCGAGGAGCAGGGTGGCAGAGCAGCATGTACAAATGCTCCGACGGAGGGAGGAAGGGAATTTTTTTTGCTATTTAGGAATTTATTCACAATGCGTGTCCTTGATAATGACCAGCGATCCCTCATGAAAATCTCATTCTCTAGCATTGAGTTTGCCCCGTCCCTGTCCCGCGGGCTTGTTGGTTGAACTTGAATCCTCGCCATGATTGACTTGGAGTACGGTATGTACAAAGAGGAACATCAAGTAGTATTTTTTCATAAGAATCCCCAACTTCGGTATCCGTTTCTTCTCTCCACAAATGACCCCCCCAAACTTCCCGAGGCCCCCAAAAGGACTTCCCCTCAGTGCACAGCCCTGCCGACGAGTTGCTGCTGGGGCGATGCCTGTCATGTGAACACCCCTTACTGCGTCAAGGCCATTGTAAAGGTTGGAAAGGACTTCCGTTTCGGCATTGAGTTGAGTCGTGCGGGGACGCTGATGTTCCCCTTTTTTCCACTCAACATGACACGGGGCGCAAGGTGTCCGCTTGACTGTCGCGAGATAGAGAAGAGGGCTCCCAAAGTTTCGACCTGGAGAGGTTGAGAGAGGGAAAAAAGCATGAGTTTCAGAAACGGAGCAGGAGAAAACATAAAGGGCTGGTCAACGTCTAGGGAACCTTTTCGGGTTGGTAGTGACTGCGGCATCAAACATTTCCAATGTGGAATGATGGCATTTGTCGCCTCTAGCGCGGATCCAGGAGTGGTTGCTCCATAGCTTGGACGCACACGCGAGCAGAGACCCTTTTCTCACAAGCCTAATTTTATTGTCAGGACTCTCAGTAAAGGGCTCGCTGGGTGGAGGGATTGGTCTGGGATTTCTTCCAGGTGCAGAATTCAATCTGTTCAAACATTTCGGCCGTGTAAAGTACGCCGACGGGAAAAAGACTACCTCATCGGCTGGATGAGCGGCGTCCCAAATAGCATAACCTGAAATGGTCTGAAAGAACTTTCGGATGGGCCTCGTATTCATCGACCACCATATCCAATCCCTTACCAAAGCAGGAGAGTCGAGAGAGTCTAGCATTCCTTGGATCGTCTGCCACTGCCAGGGAAAAAAAAAGAAGGGCGTATGATATGGGTGAGTGGGTAAAGGGTGGGTCGGCCCAGACCAATTGTCAAAAATAGCCACAGCCACAGCGAGCGGCGGCCTTGCCGAGGCGCGCTGGAAAAAGCGTTCCCGCGCTTCTTGGGGGTGTCCATGCTCTTGTGGCCAAGCGGCGGCACGGCACCTTGCGGTTGGTGTCCCAAGCTCTGGCCAAAGAAAGAGAATTTGGGATGGCAGTTTGGGTTTCCTGCCCAATGAGGTCGTCTGATGCATGGTGTCCTTTGTGGTTCCATCCACGAGAATGAGGCACGTACCGAGACTGGAGGCTTGCCAAGAAAGGTACCTTACCTTACCTACCTTAGGTAAGGTATCTGTAGGTAGGTACACTTTGCAACTGCGCGTTGCATGTTCCTGCAGATACCAACATTGAGAGACTTGCATTCGACATGGAGAGTCACCATCTAGTAGGTCTTATTCTAGCTGACACGAGGTAAAGCAGACTTAGCTAATAACTCCTTAAATCGCATCCAACATGAGGTGAGCAGACAGGAAACAAAGGCCACAATGAGAAAAGGAAGAGTGAACCTGAGGTAATGACATGAGCAGCAGGTACAGAAAAGATACGTACCTCGTCACTCAACCTGGTGATGGTGGGTCGGATGAAGTGGATCCAACCTCGAGACCCCATTAGCGCAAGAATTGCAGGGACCTGAGGCGAGCCAATCCCCTCGGCCGGGTTTCTTACGTATGCATTTTTTGTGTTTTTTTGTTCTGTTTTTTTCTTCCGCAGCTAAATGGCTTTTTGGTTGCCAACCGAGAGCTCCTCCAGCGATGGACCCGGATATCGGCGCACCCACTGACTGGGATGTTCCAGGAGTGACATACGCAATCCTCTAGGCTCAACAAGCTTCCTCTGCAGTGGTCGTCCCTTCTCCTTCACGCTTCTCCACCTTTTCCCTCTTTCGTCCCATCCGTTTCCTACTGCGTCCTGTCTCTTAAGCATCCGTCCGTGTCGTGCCGTAACCTAAACTTCGTCCTACACACTCACTTGAAGGCCGACTTCCCCTCGCTTTTTCCAACTCTCCCCTCCCCCAATCCCGCGATCCCGCCGACCATCTGCCAATCGTTCTCTTTCTCGTCCCCCTCCCCTCGCACGCTTCTGCGACGGTCGCGGCTCCACTAATTTCCCCAATCGAAACCTCGCTCGCGTGGTGGGAACCAGCTGCTACTTTCGACGGCCCCTTTGACAATCTTCTCTCCCCCGACTCTCGCTGCGGCAACTCGCGTCATTCACCTAATATTCGGCCGCTTTGCTACCTCCCGGTCGGTCTTTGTGCGTCAGGTAGCATTACACGAAGAGCAAACCGAAACTTCTGCTTTGCGACGAGAAGGACTACGACAGTTCCCGTTGGACGAGCTCTGTATCACGGCCCTTAATCGATATCCCCCAAACGACTAGCCGATCGAGCTTCCTCCTCAACCACCGTTTTTCGAAGACCTGGTGCAAAGATAACATCATCAACGACGTCTCTCGCTGCCCTGTTACTCGCCGAACTTTTCTTGAGACGCGACTCTCCCCCTCTCGCCCCAAGGGGCCTCAGACGCCAAGATGAGCAACGACGCCGGGAAAGAGCTGTTGGACCTGCTGAAGAACCCCTTTAGTTCTCAGGTACGCGAGAACCATCCTTGTTTAGCCATTGACAACTCGCGCTGATGACTGACTGCCATATAGCTTGCCAAGAACTCAGTCTGGGCTGCTCTGGGCACCTCACTCGGTGTCACTCTCGGTATTGCCGTCACCTTCTCATTTCTTCGACCGTACAACCAGTCCGTCTATGCGCCCAAGCTTAAGCATGCCGACGAGAAACATGCTCCGCCGCCCATCGGTAAGAAAATCTGGTCCTGGATCCCGCCGCTATGGAACACGACCGAGGATGAGCTGGTCCACCATGTCGGCTTGGATGCCACTGTCTTCCTCCGCTTCGTCCGCATGTGTCTCTACATATTCGCAACCATTTCTGTTTTCGGTCTTGGAATCCTGATCCCTACCTACCTGAGCACTGCAGAGAGCAGTTCGACCAAGGATAGGTCCTGGATCGATCTGATCACTCCCATTGCAGTCTGGGGCGATGCGTACTGGGCACAGGTCGCAGTAGCGTACATCATCACTTTTACCGTTATGGGCTTTCTGTGGTGGAACTATCGCAAGATATTGCGGCTTCGACGCAAGTATTTCGCGAGCGAAGAATACCAGAACAGTTTGCATGCCCGGACCCTCATGGTAAGCTATATTTCGAATGACGTATCTCTCGGGCCCAAGCTGACCCCAGCAGTTGTACGATATTCCCAAAGCCAAATGCTCTGACGAGGGCATTGCAACAATCATCGACGAAGTCGTGCCGGCCTCATCTTTCTCCCGCACCGCCATCGCCCGCAACGTCAGAGAACTTCCCAAGCTGATTGAGCAACATGACCATACCGTTCGCAAGTTGGAAGAAGTACTGGCAAAGTACATGAAGAAGCCCGACCGGCTTCCGGCTGCCAGACCGATGTGCAAGCCCTCCAAGAAGGATCCCTCTTTCGCGACGTATCCCAAGGGACAGAAAGTCGACGCCATCGAATACCTAACCCAGCGGATCAAAGAGCTCGAAATCGAAATCAAAGAGGTCCGCTTGAGTGTTGACAAGCGGAGCACCATGCCTTATGGTTTCGCCAGTTACGCAGACATTTCCGAGGCGCACAACATCGCATATGCCAGCCGCAAAAAACACCCGCACGGCGCAAGTATTTCCATGGCCCCGCGTCCAAACGATATCCTTTGGGACAACCTGGTATTGACCCCTTCGGTGCGCCGGTGGAAACGTATTGTGAACAACCTCTGGATCGCGGTGCTTACCATTGTCTGGATCGCCCCGAACGCTATGATTGCCATCTTCCTCATCGATCTGAACAACCTCGGCAAGGTCTGGCCGGCCTTCCAGACGGAACTGCTGACCAATCCCGAATGGTGGAGTATTGTCCAGGGTATTGCATCTCCTGGTCTGATGTCACTGGTATATCTCGTCTTGCCCATGATCTTCCGTCGACTCTCGATGAAAGCTGGAGATCGGACCAAGACGGGTCGCGAGAGGCACGTCCTGGCCAAGTTGTACGCCTTCTTCGTTTTCAACAACCTGATCGTTTTCTCGCTCTTCAGTACCATCTGGTCATTGGTGTCGGCAGTTGTGAGCGAAACCAGCGAAAAGAGTGTCGACGCCTGGCAGGCCATCATCGACCAGAACCTTGCAACCACCATATTCACGGCGCTTTGCTCAGTCAGTCCCTTCTGGGTCACTTGGCTACTTCAGCGTAACCTCGGTGCCGCTATCGATCTCGCCCAGCTTTGGAAACTCATCTACAGCTTCTTTGTGCGAAAGTTCTCGAGTCCGACGCCCAGAGAGCTCATTGAGCTTACGGCACCTCCGACCTTTGAATATGCCTCTTATTACAACTACTTCCTCTATTACGCGACCGTTGCTCTGGGTTTCTCTGGAATTCAGCCGTTGGTTCTTCCTGCTGCCGCGTTGTACTATGGAATCGATTACTGGCTCAAGAAGTACCTGCTGCTCTACATCTTCGTCACCAAGACCGAGTCCGGAGGCATGTTCTGGCGCGTCCTGTTCAACCGCATGCTGTTCGCCGTTTTCTTGTCAAACTGCGTTTTCTTCCTCAGCTCATGGGCTCGAGCCGACTGGGCCTACCACAGCCAGGCCTTTGCCATCATTCCGCTGCCCATTCTGTTGATCATTTTCAAGATCGTCTGCTCCCGACTGTATGACGACAAGATCCACTACCTCTCGACCACTAACGTCGCCAAGCACCCCGAGGCCGGAGTCATGAAAGAAACTCGCCTCCGCAGCGAGCGCTTGGCATCGCGTTTCGGCCATCCAGCCTTGTACAAGCCTCTCATCACGCCGATGGTACACCAGAAGGCCCAGCCTTACTTGCATGTTGTGTACAAAGGTCGCCTCTCGGATGGAAGAGATGTTAACACCGGCGATATGATGAGCGTTTCTGGCTACTCAGATGTGTACGCGTTGGATCCCATGAAGTCTGGCAAGCCCGGCAAGTCAGCGGGTATCCCCGGCTTTGAGTTCGTTTCCGAGTCGAACCTGGATTTCGAATTCTACAAGAATAGGGCGGAGTTCGCAGAGGAGCATGGCCAGGGTGACATCTTTGGACGGGACCCCGACATCATGCGCCCTGGCACACCTGGATCGATGTCTGACTTTGGCTCTCGTCCTGGAACGCCCACGGGTGCCCCTTTACAGGGTGGCATGACCGGTCAGCGCCGCGATGTTTCCGGTCAGTCTGGATTCTCGGCTTCTAGGCCTACTCCGCCTTCCGGGTACATGTCACCGACTGGAAGCGGCCGCCAGTCCCCTACCATGGGACCGCCGCAAGCTGGCTTCGCTCAACAATCGACCATGGGCGAACGGTCCCGCAGCCCCCTGTACACCATCAACAGCAACGGGAGCGATACGGCGCTCGTGAGAAATGCCGCAGGTATGCCAATGAGCGCACATACGGCCGGCGGACCGACTATTGGCGCGCTAGGCGGCGGACCGAGGGGGTATAGTGGACTCCCTCAGGCCGATGCCGAGACGTCCGATCTAGACCCGACTCAATATGACTACTTCCGTGGATCAGCAAGGCGGCGCCAAAACGACCAATGGTAGTCAGATGAGAGAAAGGGTATGTCACGTCATGATGGGTTTCATTTTCTTTCTGTGTTGTGAGCGATGGTAGAGCGAAGGGTTGCCTCGCGGTCCGGGATCTGGTCTCCATGTGATGGCATTGCATTGGCGTTGATTTAAGAGAGAGGAAGAATACTCGAAGTCCGAGAAGCGACTTCCACATGGGTGGAGAGCGGGTTATGGGCAAAAGGGTCATCTCGACCGACCCTCTTTACTGTTTTTTCCCTTCTTCATCAAAATGGTAATGATCAAAGAGACGAGACATAGACTGAAGATTGCATGGGAATAACCTTGTGGTACTCCCTTGAGAAATGTCCCTGGCGCGATGCCGGCGGGAACAGATTATAGATTTAATGAGTAACCCTTCCGCATTGTATGAACATAATTACTCGCTTTCCGTGACGTTGACTTGATCACCGCCACTGATTTATATCGTTCTCATGTTACCTATCGCCTTTGCTGGAATTCCGAATGCGTCTCTTGTTATCATACCAGGTTTATTACTGACCTTATCCACAGATTATCACTTCATTCTCGTTGGGCCTTGTTTGCCACTTTGTCTGTGAGGAGCGGGTCCTCTGGAGACCGTCGTTTAGCTGAGGTGTATGATTTTCAATTCGCTGGCGCCTGGTCAGAAATCTCTCTTTCCAGGTGGACCATTTTCTACCTTCTGCAAGCGGTGTGTTTTCACGTTCAGAACGGAAATGTAGGAAGTGTAGCTTAAACCTTGATCAAGGCCGTATTTCCAGGAGAAGGTTCTCATAGTCGGTGGGTACTTCGTCCTGATTGTACAGGATGGTATCAGACGCGAAGCTTTGCCCTCAGCTGTGAAGCGACGACAAGGTCCTATCCCTCCTATCACGGGTTGGAGATGTATTTGAAGAGCCATCTCATCTGCTGGCGTCGGGCTAACACTGCATGCATCCAATTTTGTTTTTCCCATTACTATTATCATGTATAAGAATATTGTACATTCATGCCCCTCGTCTATCAGAAAAATAAGCAGACGGACCACCCTCCCCCCCTTTTTCATTAACCAGTGCCAAACACACCAATTTCCCTTATAAAGTTTCGCCCGCAGCAAGCTTTTGAGTCCACAGCTCGAGATCAGCAGCCAGCGCCTCTACAAGCTTTGTCTCGATGATTGACTCGTTCCACGTGAGCGTGACCGTGGTTTCTCCGCCGGCGACGCCGGCAGCGTTGACGCAAACCGGCGGGGCGATGGTCCCGGCCGACTGGGAGAAGACGGCGCGGGTCAACTTCCAACCCTCACCCTCGCCCTCGCCGTTGATGGCGCCCAGATTGCTGACCTCCCAGCTGTTCCCCCGCGCACTGCCGTCCTTCTTCTTGAAAAAGTCGTGGAAATCGCCAACATACCTTAGCATGGCGGTGATGTCGTCGTGAGGCAGCGTCGCTAGCCTCGTCTTGAGGTCGCTCTTGACGGAGCCGGCAACGTTCCAGATTGCGCGCTCCAGAGTGTCCCCAGAGGACTCGCGGAGTAACGTGGTGCGTTCCTTGGAGATTGGGTGGTTTGTAGATGTGACGAGAACTGACATTTGGTTGTCAATGTCGGCATTGGCGTCTTTGACGAAGCGTCGCATGCTTATGGCGGAGGATGGCTCAAAGGCCGGCGCGGCGGAGGCCGGGAGATGGCGGGCGAGGGAGGCTGCGACGAGGGCGTGGAGGAGCGGTGTGAGGGTGAGGCCTTGGGCGCGGGATGCTGCTAGCAAGCCGGCCACGGTGGAGGCCGGCAGCCTCACGATGCGGACGTTGGTGTGGAATGGCGTGGAAAAGTCTGCGTCTTGACCTGTCCATGGGGTCACGTCGGGTTTCGACTTCAGCCATGAAGGGCCGAAGGCACCCCATAGTTCCCATAGGAAGTACGACCAGCTGATGCGCCCGTTGACGAGCTGTTCCTGTGATAGGGGTAATGCGGGCGGCTTCGGGAGGTCAAGACTATCATTTTGAAGACCTTGGACAACGACTGGGTTACTCAAGGCCTGGAGTAGCCGCTTGTGAAAGATGGACCCGCTGGTACCGTCACTGATTGCATGATGAAAGAAGTAGACGACCTCGATCTCCGAGACACCATCCTCGTCTCTCTGAATTGGAATGATGGCCACCTTCCAAGGCGGACGCCGCTCGAGGTCCGGCCAGAGCTGGTCGTGCTGGTAGGACAGGTGCCTGCAGAGGGCTGCATCCGATGCGCCTGCGCCGTCGCCGGGGTGGGACGGACCGAACCACTGAATATGGTTTGACAAGTTGATTTGTGGAACACGCACAAACGAGGTAGTTTGTTTATCTTCATCGGCGATGCCGACCCGCATGAACGGTTGCTCTGCCGCGACCTGCGCGATGGCGCCTCGAAGCGTTGTCTTGACTTCTTCGAGGCTGGCCCCGGGTGGGACTGCGTAGCGGCCGGCGACAGCAACGCACCGGTACAGGCCGAGCGAGTGCCGGGCTGTTGAGTACTTTTCCCTTGTGATATGTCAGCGGGACGCCAAGTAGCGATGTAGGGACGTATCGTACAAGTTGCCGCATGGGCGTACCACGTCTGCTTTGGGACTCATGCCTTGCTGCTATGCTGAACCTTATGTATTATCGGTACAGATAGTGTTTCTGATCGCTGATGAATTGTGAGAGCTGCGCTCGGAACAGCTGGAGCCTGGAGATGATGCACGGGGATTGGAGTTCCTCCGCTTCGTTGCGTCGAGCTCCTGGTCCCTGCAGGTGTTCCTGAGCGCCAGGGATATCCATCCAGAAGAGGCATAGCTCCCCGAGTCACCGATGATTGACTGGGCCATTGCGCAGGGAATCTCCGCTTAGGATATGAGCGTTGAATGAGGTGTGGAGGCCTATTGAACTCGGGACCAAGTAGACAGCAAGGTATGTCGAAAATGGTGACGGATATGAATCAAAATCACCCGTTTCTCGGGGATGAAGAACCTGTATCAAAGAAACGTGGTTCAACGTCTTTGGGCGCCGCTGGAGGCGCACCGTTATTTGATCGGCCACCAGGGTCCAGACCGGCGCGCCGTCTTGGAGCTTGGACCATTTAGGCCGGCAGCTCCCGATTAGTCATTTCCTATCTGTTCTTCCGCTCCGAGATTAGGAGGGGCAGTATGGGGTGTTTAACCAAATGGGAAAGAGCACCAGGGGTACCCCGGTCAATTTCCCTGGGAAGACGCGGTTCACCACTTGCTCGTTCTCCGACCCAAAATATTGTCTTCCCCTTTGCGCGACGAACTTTCCCCTGACGACAATGCGAATAAAGACGCCTAGGTTGACCGTCTCGGCCTCATAGCTTGTTCGAGAGCGTGTCGCAATTTCAATCGTACCTCACACTGTTATGACGCGACCAGTCGCCAAATCGCATCGCCAAAAAATGCAGCTGCGCGCAGCTTGACCCCATCAATCACCATTATTTACGAACGTGGCCACAACCCCAGCTCGCCAATGGAATACAATCGATCGCCTTCCTTCGGCCTCGGGGCGCGAGCGAACCGTCGCGCTTCTACCCAATTGACTATCGACGAGGAGGGCCGTAAACCACTATTCTCCAAACCATCCAGAGAGAGCCTCGAGCCCCAGAATCCCGCCTATGCGGCAGCGGGAAGCAACAGATTTGGGTACTCGCCAACGAATGCCCACACCAGTACGAACGGCCGACCGCCCTCTCGCGCTGCCATTCCTCGACCTTCAAGCTCCCTTTCGCAGACACCGTCACTCAACTCCAATCACTCTGTCGAGATCGTATCTCCCGGCTCTCGCATTCCTCGGCCCAAGTCCACGATTGGTATTTTCGCCAAAGGCTCCGGAGTATCTGTCGCCGAGGCTTGGAAATTGGCAGAAGAGAACCGAGTACAAACTCTGGAAAAAGCGCGTCGAGCCTCTCCGGCAGCCATCGACGCATCGCCAAGCCCTGCACCACGCCCTTACGCAAATCGGCAGGTTTCCGAAGAGTTGAAACCACGACGATCACTAGGCAAAGATGCGGTCGACTACAGCCGGCCCAGGCCCCTGTCAAGGATGTCAAGCGAATCGTTGCGCGACGGCTATGTTGGACGATACAGCGGCAGCCCAGGCTCGAACAGTCTTTCCAGCTCTGGAAGCTTCGATCGTCGACTGAGTCAATATGAGCGCGAGATGGCAGAATCGCCGAGCGCGTCTCGTGACCAGGATCATTTCTTTGTTAAGACCAAGGTAGGACCAAAGATCGCCGAGACAGGCCACACCCTGGCGAGGAGAACAAGCAACAGCAGTCTCAACGGGTATCAGAGTGTGAACCGGCGAGCAAGCAACAGCAGCTTGAATGGAGGCCCGGGCTTGGGTAGGAGAACAAGCTACGGCAGTTTGAGTGCTAGCCCGCGCCCCGGGGCTTTCGCCAAGAGCCATGTTCCCGAAGGGCATATCAAGGAGCTCTTGGAGCAGGATGAGAAGGGTATCAAGCGATCCGCCAGGCCAAAGCCAGAGCAAGATATTGCAGCCGACATACCATTGCCCTCTGTCGAGGCCACTGGTCTACCGCAGGAGCCCACTCCGCCAACGTCTCGCCCGGCTTCTGCGAATCCGGAATTCCGATCTCCAGACAAGAGCTACGCGTGGCAGCTAGACGCGGACTTCACGGCGGGAGACTTGCAAATTTCTGACAGCCCACGGATAAGAACCGGTGGCACTGGCTTCAGCGAAGTCTCTGATCGACGATCCTCCTACGGCAGCGCTTACGCTGAAGATCAGGTCCCGGGATTGAATGGAAATCTCAGGCGGGAGTCATCACTAGGACCATCTCCCAGGGCTGGGCGCTCTAACACTAGGATCGACGAGATTCGCCAGCGGGAAGAAAAGGCCAAGGAAGAGCTTGCAGAGTCGCGAAAGACCCAGTCAAGAGCTAGGAACAACAAAAGGCTGGAGGAGATCCGCGAGAGAGAGGCCGAGGCAGAAGAGCAGCTGGCCAAGGAGCCGAGGTCGCAACCGCGCTCATACTACCTCACCCCCGATGATCTACCAGTGCGAGAGGAAGTCGATGCACAAGCCCAGTCGAAGAACACGAAACTCGACGAAATACGAGCACGAGAAGCCGAGTCATTGTCTAAAAAGGCCGTGGCTTCTAGCCGATTGGAGGAGATCCGGGAACAGAACTCAATGTCGAGGTCCATGTCACCAGAGGCTCGGCGCAGCAGTGACTATGCCCGAGAGTCGACGCCTATCCGAGAAGCAAGTGGAGAGTCCGGTTGGCCTACGGAGGATGGCGAGCATATCGCTAATACACCTATCACAATCTATCGCAACTCGCCGGTGCGCGAGCGAAAGAAGTCGCTGTCTCAGTCGCCAGTGAGCCGAAACGAGCGGACCAGTCCCAAGCCTGCGAGGCAACAGGCTACACACGCGCGAACTGATTCTAGGGATTTGTTGCAGAGGCTCGCTAGAGCTGCGAGTAGCAGCCCTGCTCCCGAGACCCATGTCCGACCCGCAGCTACAGATGAGCAGAGGAAGTCTAGCAAAGAAGACCTTGAGAAGGAGAAACTCGAGAAGGAGAGACTCGAGAAGGACAGGCTGGAAAAGGAGAGATTCGAGAAGGACAGGCTTGAGAAAGAGAGACTCGAGAAAGAGAGGCTCGAGAAAGAGAGGCTCGAGAATGAGAGACTCGAGAAGGAGAAGATCGAGAAAGAAAAGCTCGAGAAAGAGAAGCTCGAGAGGGAAACAACTGCAGAACCTACGCAGAGGACAGAAACTCAACGGCGGAAGAGTGAGCCCAGGCGGCCTGCCCCCGAATTGGAACCCAAGGCTAGCCCACCGCGACGGAACCGAAGAGAAACCATCAAAGTATCCGAGCCAGCTTCTACTGAGACGAAAGGGACAGATGGCTCTAAGTCCAGTTCTCCGGATGAGCCGGCAGAGAGGCCAAGGTCGCGCGTGGAATTTGCTGGAAGGCGCCGGGAACGTCGTCAAAGATCAAGCGAATCTGTCAAGGACAGTCGTAAGAGCTTGGCCTTGTCGGATGGTGATCCTACCGACCGCATCGAACAAGAAAGGAATCTCTTCGCGCCTACGGACACCCAGTCCGAGCGTGGATCTGTCAGAGCACCATCAGCGGAGCCTTTCACCGAGGATGAGGATAAGGACCTTCTCGCAGGCGAAACTCCCCGACCGATCAAGGTTGATCCGCTATCTCTACCTACACCTAGGGTCACAGGTGCCTACGTCGAGACGCCTGCAACACTCAAGGTTGAACGAATTGAGGAAAATATTCTGCCGCCCTTGACCAGGCCTGACCCGTCGTCAAACACGACTTTCGGTAGACCGCCCAGCAGAAGAGGATCGCGGCCGTCATCAAGGGCGGGCACATTTTTCAAAGCTAGTGAATCAGGTTCTGAAACGAGCGACCAGTACGGTCAAGGGAAGGAGACAACAGGAACAACTACAAACTCCAACTTGCGACGCCGCAACAGATCGACTTCCAGGCCGCGTAGACCTTTGACCAACTCGGTAAAACCCCCGACGGTTAAGGATGATCTTTTGGAACTTCAACGCATTCATCAGATTGAAGACTCCACTTTGGACGATTTCGAGGAACTGTTCAACATGCAGAAGCTTCAGAACGCCCCTTCCTCGGAAATAGAGTCGATGCTTGATGATATCGCGGTTAAAAAAGAGGAAGTCGCAGCCAAGCCGAACATCACCAAAACTCAACGGGACCACGAGCTAGAGCAATATGACAGGATGAGCAAGACACTGAAAGACGGGCTTTTCAACATTCGTACCGCCAAGCAGGGCATCGAACGCTTGGAGGGGCAAGTCTCGCACGCCGAGGGCAAACATGACAATGTCGCTACGCTCCAGAAAGCGTCAGAGAAGCAGCCGCTGGCAAAAAGTTTGCATCACCGCCACAACCCAGATCACGCCCGCGATTGCCCAGATTGCATCCGCCAGACTCCTATCAAGGAAGTGTCGTACCTTCACCTTCCTGTGCCGAGCCTGTATCGTCGCAATCCTTTCCGCCTTACGTTCCTCGGGCTGGTCCTCCTCGTCGTTTCACTCTGGTATGCTGCCGAGTCTGCCATGTGTGTGGTTTACTGTCGGCCAACTACATGCTCTTCGACGCCTTGCGTCTGGTCGCCGACGGACCCGACTTGGGGTTTTGCTATCCCAGTGAAGCTCGACGAGTGGGCCACAAATGGCTGGGGCCGCCAGGTGGCTAATCAATACTCCGAGGATGCGTCAGATCTGTGGGCGGATGCGTTAGATTTTGTCACTGGGACCGATATCACGACTGTTGACATCAACACCCTCGACTTCTACGACAAGCGACAGCATCGCCGCCGTCTCCGCAAGAAGGGACTTGCGAAGCGGCCCCTCGAGTCACCTAGTGACAAGGCCAAATGGGACACATGGCACGCCACGCGAGTGGCCAGCGAGAGGGCCCAGGATGCGAGGGAGATGGGCTATGACATTGGTGACGCGGATGAGAGTATTGGAGACGATGAAGTGTTGTGAGGAGGCAATTCTTCCCGGTCATTGTACATTACTAGTCTCACATGCCCCGTTGGCTTCCGGATGGCAGCGCGCTGGGTAGCACGCTGGATAAAGCACTATGGAGCATAGAACTCCTTTGGTAATTCAATATTGCGAGTCACTGTGATATCCCGCAGACGTTGATGTGTGATTAGGCTTGCGGGGATGGACCTACAGTGTAAAGGTGGCTTATTGCAACTTCAATACTATCAAGTATCATCCGTACAACCTACACTTATTTTCCAAATCTCGATACGGACGCAGCTAGTATTAGCCCGCTCGTTAAGACCTACTTGGTCAAGAGATCATGGTTCGGCTTCGACATCGACGACAATCTCCACGAATTCCGCCGCGCCTCCTCGGCCGCGACGGGCAAGACCCTCAAAGCCATCTCCCAACGACACGAGGGTACGCTGGCGGTGCCTGCTTTGGAAGAGGCATACGGCCACGTCCTCCGGGACAAGACCGCGGCCGCTTTCTCCGGCGGCAAGACGTCGTTTGATCACTGACGGGAGAGGACGGTGCGAAATCTGGGTATTGCTCCATATATCAATGTTCTTGCCACGACGAATCTCTTTGGCGTTGCAAAGACGGAGGGACTGTTCCCCAAGGTGTTGGGGCATTTCGGTATTTCGGCGGAGAATATGGTTCATGCTGGGGATTGTGAGGTGCGGGATATGAACCCCGCCTTGGCTGAGGGGATCTCGAGCGTTCCACTTGACGGGACGGCGTAGACGTCATAGGAGGGCGAGCCATTGAAGGCACATGGAAGTTCTTTCTCTCTCTCCTTGAACTTGGAATAACCTTGAATCATTTCAATCATCAGTTGCCTCGGGGAAACTCATTCCACATAGTTTTTGCATCAAGATCTATGGTACGTTTACATTACAACGCACTTCAAAGCCATCGCCAAGTTGGCAAAACTCAGATATGAATGAGTACGGTAACGAGTCGAAGATGTAATCAGATTAGACTGTCGAGTTCGTTGTGGAACATTTGACTTAATGAACAAAACATGCCACCTTAGGTGAATGAGCTCTCAACTTTCCGGTAGCAAATCGCCTAGCTCAAACACATGTCAAAAAGGTGTTTAAGGAAGCATCACGGCGCGTCCTTCGCATTCGACGTCATGAGTAAGCGCTACTCAATCGCAAAGATCGTCAACGAACCAACCCCAGATCTTCGCCCTCGCTTGGACACGATGGCTGTAAGTTTGCAGAACCAGCACTGCTACGCCGTACGGCCTAGCGAGACTGGAGTTGGGGGCCGCCAAGTCGATGCTAGGCAGCCGTTCACAGAATGAGCCCATCTCAAAATGCGCGCGAGAGATCTCATTCATCTTCACCGTGGCATTAATCTCTTGAGTGACTGACGTTTTTTAAATCATCTTCATGCGAGCCTTTCTGTAAGGAGAACACGATAACTTGGGGGAAGCAACTTCCTCGTTCCACCTTGCGACGTGCAAAGATACGATACCAACCAACAGAGATTAGCTCATCGGTTCTAGTCTCATCAACAACAAACGACTCCCAGGCTCTATAGTAAACGCCGTCCACGATGTCCAACTCAACATGCCTCGACCTGACCAGCCTTCCAGAGCTGTCCAACATCCCGATCCCACAAAACATTACATTCGTCGCGATGCCCGGTCGTATTAAGAGAGATTGATCAATCTTTACTCACGTGTACTCTACATCCAAATTCTTACTTCATGTGAAATGATCCTCAAGCTGAGTGCGAGCGTTGTCAACTCAAGAACAAAACGTGAATTTTGTAGAGGCTATTGGCAGACAAGGTTTCCACTGCTTGGATTCACCTTCGCCGCTCGGCCACCGTGTTACAAATCATGGCTGGGATAATGGATTCTTTCCACGGCGACCACGGCGACCACGGCAGTTCGAAGTAATCACCTTCAAAGAACATGGCTCGCTGTGGGTGTACAAGAGAGTCTGATATCGAAGCCAGGAAGATGCTGATTACCAAGGTGGCTGCAACCCCTCATCCAACCGACTTACACCGCGATGCGCCAGCTTACAAATCGACCATCACATCATCAGTCGCACACACCTCAACTGCATAACACCACTTTACTATAAACCCGCGGTCTTGACCATCTTACCATCCAAGTCGATTAGTCCTCATCGATAATAGCAAGCCAGCATCAAACAAGTATCACAATGGCACCCATCCGAGTTGGCATAATCGGCCTGTCCTCCACCGCGGCAACGGCCTGGGCCGCGAGAGCCCACCTCCCATACCTCCTATCCCCGCGCGGCCGCTCCAAATACACAATCACGGCGCTCTGTAACTCGAGCGTCGAGGCTGCGCAGCGCGCCGTGAAGGAGTACAACCTCCCCGCAGAGACGAAAACGTACGGCAACCCCGCCGACCTGGCCGCGGACCCGGACGTGGACCTCGTCGTCGTCTCGACCCGCGTCGACCAGCACTACGACACGGCCCTCGCCAGCGTGAAAGCTGGGAAGAGCGTCTTTGTCGAGTGGCCGCTCGCACAGAACGTGAAGCGCGCGGGCGAGCTGGCCGCTGCCGCTAAGGCGAGCGGGTCGAAGACGTTGGTTGGGGTCCAGGGGAGATTCGCGCCGTCGGTGCTCAAGGTGAAGGAGATTCTGAAGACGGGGCGGATCGGAAAGGTGTTGAGTAGTGAGGTTAGGGCGGCGGGTGGTTCGTTGGACCGGACTCATCTCCCGACTGGGTTGAAGTACTTCGCCAACCTTGAAGTTGGAGGCAACATCATTACCATCGGCTTCGGCCATTGTGAGTTTTCGACCATAAAGCCCCGCTTTCTCTTATGAAAGCACAGGAAAAAACCATGGCTAAACATAGACTTCAGTGTTTGACCAGGTACAACACGTCCTCGGCGAGGCAACAATCCAACACGCCCACACCCAGATCCAACGACCGGCCGTCAAAATCCGCGACCCATCAACTCAGCAAGTCGTCGAGACTGTGACGAGCAACGTGCCAGACCTCCTCGTAGCGACGGCAACACTGCCCACCTCGGGCCTCGTCGCCGCCCAAGGAGCGACGCTCCTCGCCCGGTTCCGGCGCGGCCAGCCTTTCCACGGCGAGCCGCAGCTGTCTTGGACCATCAACGGCGAAAAGGGCGAGGTCCGCCTCACGTCGCAGAACAGCGTGGCGCTTCAGGCCTTTGCAGACGTTGACTGGGTCAAGATCGAGGTTCATGACTTTGAGAGCGACGAGGTGGAGACTGTGCCGTGGGCGTGGGAGGAAGGGTGGCAGGCCGAGTTGCCTGTGCCGGCGAGGTGTATTGGAGGGGCTTATGAGGCTTTTGCTGAGGGTGAGGGGACCGCGGTCCCTACTTTTGAGGATGCTTTGAGGAGGCATGAGCAGATTGATGGTTTCCTCTACAAGTCGGCTTGAGTGAGTTACATGGTCATATAGCTTGGTGTAGAGTGTCTTTCACTGGGCAGTGACTCGAGTGAGGCGCAAATTTGAATAGCATGAGGAATATGATGAACGGTTTATCAATGCGGGCATCATCTCATACTATGAAAGCAACCGTTTGCATCATCTTTTGTGTAAAATAACTCACTTCAGGCTTTGACGTTGAGGCTCAAGTTCGGTTGAGTCATCCGGCGGCTGCATTAAAACGCAGCTACCTAGGCAGACAGCTCGCCAGAGACCGCCTTCCCTCAATGCCAGACTACACATAAAAACCATGCCAACCAACCATTCACTGCCAAGGAATACTCAAGATTCCAACACCTCATTTGGAAGCCACAATTCAGAAACATCATGGACACAACACCAATCTACTTTTGGCGTGAAACCGGCCCAGAAGGCTACCTCTCCCAATGGTGGACCTCCAACCCCTTCACCCAATCTCATTCTTCATCCTCATCCTCATCCTCGCCCTCATCTCCATCCCCCTCACCAACCATCACCTTCAAAACCGCAGAACACTACATGATGCACGCCAAAGCCCTTCTCTTCTCCGACACCGACGTCGCCCTCTCCGTCCTCAAGGCCGACCATCCCCGTAAAGTCAAGGCCCTCGGCCGCAAAGTCAGGGGTTTCGACGAGCGTGCGTGGAACGAGAACAGGGAGCGCATCGTCCGCGAGGGGAACCTGCTCAAGTTCCGCTGCGCACCGGAGCTGAGACGGCGTTTGCTGGCTACGGGGGAGAGGGAGCTGGTGGAGGCGAGCCCGATGGATCGGATCTGGGGGATTGGGTTCGCTCCTGATAAGGCGCCCTGGTCGGATCGGCGTCGGTGGGGGTTGAATCTGTTGGGTAAGGTTCTGATGGAGGTGCGGACGGTGTTGAGGGAAGAGGAAGACAAGGAGGCGGAGGATGGTAGGAAGAAGGAAGATGCCAAGGCGAAAAGGAGGCGGGGTCAAGAGAAGAACGAAGAGGGCCACGACAGGGACGAAGGGACTGTGAAGAAGTCGAAGCGGGTAGAGGGAGACGACAATTCGGCGGAACGGTAATGGGGTGAGGACATTTGAGTTCTCGTGGTATTACATCGCGAGTATGGGTAATCGCCTCTTCTACATGAAAGACATTTTGTTCTTCTACACGTACACATACAGCCTTCAAGAGCGGTGTTGGTTTGTCTTTCCATATTTCTTCCCCTCGTCCACACAGCCCATTGTAGCAACGTCCCGCCCAATGTTCGCCAGTCCCATATGCCCCCCGTTCTATTTTGTACAAGTAATAAAACACTTTTTTGTCGGCTGAAGATTTTTTGCGAGAAGAGTGGACTTTTTTGGTATGGGTTCATCATCCAAACATCCTCGGAACCAGCCTCGCGTTCGCTTTGAGAAATACTACCCCCTCAAAGTCGGGAGTGAGTTTTACGATAGTAGTGGTGGTGGTGGTGGTGGTAGTGGTGTTAATTTAGTAGTAGTCCTTTCCGCTCTTCTGCATCTCAATGAGACGCCATCCTCTCGTCTCCGGGTTGCTGACGTCCTCCGGAACACGGGTGATACCGATGGCGTACGTCACCAGTTGAACCTTGTCCTCCATGCCAGCCGCGAGCTCGCCAGACTTTGCGTTGCGGTAGACATGCACCTCCTGTGTCCTGCAGGTGATGACGAAGACGGGGATTTCGCCGGGGTCCAGCATGCGCGCGCGGACAATGTCGACGTGACGGATGTCGAGGATCTTGCCGTCCGACTTGAGGCCGGCGGTGAGGTACTGCTTCGTCAGGGCCTCGTACACGGAGTACTGGGCCTCGGAGAGCCAGAGCTTGAGCGTCTCAATGTCGCCCTTGACGTAGGCGTCGAGGACCTCGGGCAGGATGTATTCACGGAGCTCCTTCAAAAAGGGCTCCGTCTGGAAGTTGGGATCCATCGTGCGGAACCTCTTGATGACCTGGGCGGTCTCGTTCTCGGCGAACCAGCCTCCAATCTTGTCCGTGACGAGTCGTGCAGTCTCGATAAGGGGGTTTTCGGATTCGCGGTAGACCTTGCCGGCGCTGAAGAAACCCTGGGCAAACTTGTTCGAGTCCTTGAAATCGTTCCACGCTTCCTTCCAGGCGGCGTCCTTGTGAATCGTAACGTTGGTGCCGGCGCTTCATTACAGTCAGTCAGAGTCGCATATACACAAAACACCAGCTTCCTCCAACTTACTTGGGGTCTTCCTCAAAGATCTCTGGCTTGCCGTGCTTGAGGGCCTCAGCCTCACGCCTCTTCCTTCGCTCCTCCTTCTCAACCCAACCACCGTAGCGCGAGCTGCTTCCGTCATCAATGACATCCTTGACGTTCTTGTACGCCTCGGTCTCGCGGATGGGCTTGGTCGCCTTGTCAAGCGCGTCTCCCGTAACGTTGGCGACCTTGCGGACACCCTTCATGGCGGTAGTATCCCAGGTCCAGGCAGCACCCTTGCCAATGGCTCCAGCGGTGGTCTTGACGGCGGTTGTTGCAGCGGACGAGATGGCACCAGAGGACTTTTCGTAGGCCTCGCGGGCTTTGCGGACTCTTTCGCTCTCGGCGAAGTCTTGGATCTCACCGGAAAGTGCCTTTGTCGACTCATTCCACTCCTTGGACTTGCCGAATTCGGCCGTGAGCGTCTCTCTGAAGACTTCCCATGGCGTCTTGTCACCGTGGGGCGGAGGAGGCGGCAGGTCCTCCTTCTTCTCCTTTTGCTTCTCCTCGCCCTCCTTACCCTCTTCTCCCTCGGCCTTCTCGCCCTCCTTCTTTTCGGATGACTCCTCCTTCGCCTCCGACTCGGCGTCCTTGGTCTTGGCTTCCTCGGCGGGCTTCGCGCTACCTTCGGTGGGCTTTGCACTGTCCTCGGGTGCCTTGGGCTTCTCGGTCTGCTGCTGCTGGAGCTGTCTGGCCGTCAGGTGGAAAGAGCGCGATTGCATCGAGCTTGAGATGCTGCGGACATCTTCAGGAAGAAATTGTGATCGCAAGGAGGTGGGCCGTGCAAAGGGTTGTCGTAATGAGGCCAGCGCAGCGTTGCCACTGATCTCTGTGGAAAGTAACCGGCGGAAGACGGGGGTGCTGCTTTGGTTCGGGACCGCCGCCCGCGCTGAAGCTCTCACGAGCGCATTCTGAGGATTTCTCCTTGCCGATCGCATGAGAGAGTTCATAATGTGTATAATCCAAGCCAACCGCCTCTCGACGATACGCAAAGAGGATATAGAGGAAGAGGAGGAAGGGGCGGGAAAGGGATGCGGATGACCACTTGGGGCGAGCAACGTTGCAAAGAAATTTTGGCTCGCGACGGGACGGGGTCCAGAAGCTCTATCTCTGCGAGCGATCTCGGTTGACGGCGGAGCGCGGAAAAAAGTCTGGGCCCCTGTTCAACCGAAGACAACCCGGCGCCCTTCTAGGACCAATCAGACGGCGGGAGTGTCCCCAGACTTTCAACGGGAGCTTTGCCAAATTTCTGCAATTCTCACAGCGACTGCCATCATCGTCACGACAGGCCCTCTCCCCCATTGCGACAGGAAGCCTAACACGACTCCCGTGATGAGCTCCGCACCGACGACTCGCCTCTTGGCGAGGTCTCTCTTCCAGAATGCCGCCCGTCCGTCCCCGATAGCGAGATGCTCCCCGGCCATCCTCCGACCCTTCTCACAGACCTCGACTCAGCGCGCCGACGATGCGAAGAAAGGAGGCCAGGAGCTCCTCGCCGCCATGTACGGTTCCCGTTCCACAACCTCAACAACGACGTCGTTGGGAACCAGCTCGCCCAGCCACAACCAGACTATGCTTCTCCAAACCTTGAAAAAAACCGCCGGCAAGAAGTCGCTGCTAAATGGCGATCTCGCCCCCACCGGCTCAGGCCTTGACGACCTCGTCCCCGACCAGGAAGACCTTTTGGAGCCATACCACATGCACATCTACTCCCACAAGCACAACACGCACGTGACAGTCACAAAGCCCGACCGTGGCGCCATCATCTCCCTGTCAACCGGGAACATCGGCTTCAAGAAGTCCAAGAGGAAAGGATACGATGCCGCGTACCAATTGACGGCATACGTCCTCGAGAGGTTGAACTACGCTGGATGGCACAAGAAGATTAACAAGCTCGAGATCGTGCTCAGAGGATTTGGTGTCGGCCGTGACGCGGCCGTCAAGGTCCTCATGGCCCCCGAGGGCAGGCTGTGGAGAAGCAAGGTCATTCGGGTGGCGGACTCGACGAGATTGAAGTTTGGTGGAACGAGGAGCAAGAACCCGAGACGTGTCTAGAGCGGCGGCACGCGGCTGCAAATCCTGGAGGGAGCAAGCAACACACAACGCCTGTACAATACTTGTACAATTGTATCATACCACAAGAGCAAAATTTCCTTGCATTCTGATGTATTATGTCGAGATGCAGATGTCCAATCCCGCTGGTATCAAGTGCTATACGCCTACTAAACCCAAACGCCAGACCTTTTAACGCCAAGCATGCCGCATAATAGGACTGATGGCTTCTACTTCCGATCCGGAGCTCTCTCGGCAGCAGGTAAATCACGACCCGCGGTATCTCTCACAGCCTTCTTGCCCTTGCCGTTGCCGCCGTGTCGTCGTTCCTCCTCGCTATCCCAGTCGGCATCGTCAGCTCGACCCTTGGAATTCTCGGTGAGGAATCTTGGCGGCGATTGCTTCAGCATCCTAGAGCCTTCGTGCGCATTATCGTCCTCGTCCTCCAGAAGCGCGCCGTCGGCGGTATCGTACTCGGGTGGGTCGATCCAGTCCCTGGGGACAACGCAGGGTAATGCGACGCCGATGCTTGCCGCACGGTTCAGCCAGCCGGGACCGGGACGCCCGGTAAGCTTTCTGCAGAGATACGAGGTGAAGTGGTTGCAATTTTTCGTCAAGAGGTTGTAGGAAGTGCCGAGGAAGTCTTTCGAGGCCTCTTCCAGGATTGTGTCGATCTCGGCCTGGGTCGCAAAGGTGAAGCCGTGGAGGATCTCGGACTTGAAAGTGCCGCCGGGGGGCTCCGTCTTTGGCTTTGTCCAGTAAACTCCCGTCACGCCGCGTCGCTCGTGCCCGCCATAGGCATACTCTCTGCCATTGATCACGACGCCTGAGTGCAGTAGCGAAGCGCCAAATGTCCAAAGAACAGAGGATAGGCGGCCTGGCTGCAGTCACTTTGTTAGCTGGGCTGGCGGTGACGGAACCAAGCTCTCGGTGGGTCCAGCAACTTACAGGAAGCAGATCATAGACATGGATTGTGACTTCGGTCTTGGATAATGACAATGTCGACCTGTGCGACGCTGTAGACTCTCTGGGATTGCTCGATCGGGGAGGCATTTTCCAATCTGCCGGGTGAGGTACTTGTAGTAGCGACGCTGCCTTTTTGGTGTATTACGTACGTCGTGAAGGCAGTCGCGAGTCGTGTGAGGGGCGTTGTTGGAGAAGATGAGACGAGGCACGAAACCAAGAGTGCTAGTCTGAGGAATAAATGCGCTTAGGAAATACTGGTCTAGGACAAAGATATCAAGGGTTGTTTCAGTTAATGAAAGACGCAAAACAAGAAATAGGCTGGCCGCAGAACCCAAAGACGATCACCGGACTCGACGAGAAGGAAACCGCAGCAGACGCAATGCACCCAGCAAAGAACCTTAAGGCAGGTCTCGCGGCTTCATTGGGCTTGGCCCGGGCGGTGCTCGGCGCAGAGACAGCGGGCGTCAGCAGAAGAGCCAAATACCTAGGATGCTGCATTAATGATTAAGTCCCCACCCCTGGATCCGGAACACCCCCTCATACGGAACAGTAGACCAAAACGACCATGAAAAACACGGTTAATCGGAAATCTCAATAATATCGCGATTATATTAATCCATTATATAAAATTAATATTAGAAAAACTGGAATTCGACCTCTTATTTTTTTACCGTTTTTATTATTTAAAAAGAGATCTTTTATACTTGTTTTTGTGACTTATGAATAATATTAATTTTGGTAAATCGTTCGTTCGGCCTAAGCGCTATACTTATTTTTATATACGGTTTATAAACCTTTACGGTCTTTTTTAATTAATAGATCCGTCTCTCGTAGTCAGTAATAAAAATATTTTTCTTATTTAAACTCTTATTAAGTTTAAAAAATAATATATAACCTTTTATTTTATTAATATTAGGGCGAAATAGTAAAGTAAAAGTGGTCCTTTTTAAATCGCCCGAACGTTTAAGGGTTGCTACTTTTTTTTTTATTATTTAATCTTAAGGAATTAAGGTTGCCGAGGGCTCTTTTTTTATAGGCAATTACCTTTTTTATTTGTTAGAAAGAAATTACCGGTTTAAAAGTATTTTATTAGGGTTAAGTGGCTAGATATTAATTATTTTCTATTTAGCGCGTATATTTAATATTATTAAAGCCTTTTAATATACTTTATCGTAATAGCGAAAAAAGTTCTTTTTATTAACGATCGAAAGGTTTATAAGTGTATATAAAACCCTTATCCTTTTATAATATTTTAATTTTAATATATTAAAGATAAATACGTCGAGAGGTTAAGTTATATAAAAAGAATAAAGCGGTAAGAAGATTAGATATATCCTATAGATATAATACTTTTATATAAACGTATTAAAGTAGTGACTACTATGCTTATTTAATATTAAGAGGCGGTTAGAGCTCTTATTAACGCCTCTTAGCTTAATCTAAGGTTTAAAAACGTTAGTTAATTAAGAAATTATTATAATATTATCTGTTTACTTATTTTCGGTTACGTTAAAAGATTAGTTTTTATAAGCCGCGAGTTTATTAAGAAACTATTATTACTATACTCTTTTACTTTTAAATAAAACTAAAGGCCGAAGTATTACTTTTATTATTAATATATACTTAATTATCGTCGTTTACGTACAAGAATTAGGATAGCGTATATAAATCGAACCTTTTTTCTTATTAAAATTTAATATTAGATTATTAACCTTTTAACTTTTTATTATCCTAGTTTTATTTATATTCTATATATTTTATAACGGGATAGTTTTAATTATAAGGTCGGTATATAAATCGAAGTATTTTAATAAGATTTTAATAGTAACGGTTTTAATACGGAGGTTTTTAATAGATTTACTTTTTAACATCTTAAGCTTTAGATTCCGCTTAATAAAATGCTTTAATTAATACTTACTAAGGGGTTAAGGATCGCTGTTTATAAAAACGACTTTAATAATAAAAAAGTATAGCTAGGCGTAGGTTAGAGCGAGGCCGAGGGAGCTTTACGCTAATACCTAGTTAATTAAATATTTTTTTTATTTCGACGATAATTGCTATAAGTGCTCTATTAACGTCTTTTTAGTCGAACCGCTGTTCTAACGGCGATAGAGGGTCGTTATAGGGATCCCCTAGGCCCGAAATACTTGTCGTATAGGCTGACTAGCCTGCACATCGCTAAGAGCTGCGATAATGTCCTACTCGGTATATTTAGCTATTGCGAATATACTGGTATTTTCAAAAGAATTAAATTTTAATGTTATAATGGTTTAATTGATGGTGGTGGTGTTGTGGTACTGGGATGTACGATGGAGAAATCCTGTTCCGAATGAGGGGGTGTTCCGGATCTAGGGGTGGGGACTTAAACCGCAAAATGGAACCTGGGGGTAAGGTTGCTGCTTGAGTATAGAGGTACATGGTTCTTCAGATGTGGACCATAGAAACTGGGTGGTGCTTCGAGGGAGGTCCAAGTACTCTTCACCGCAAGCGGGTTGACCCAATTGCGACCCAATGGGATGCAAGGAATGAGGTCAGAGGTGGCTCCCAGCCCCGCGCTTTCCTCCAGCTTCCTTCCAAGCTTCCCAGCTTGGACCGTTTCTTCCCTGCTTCCAGCCCGAGGTGTGACTGTCCCGTTGCTACTGCATTTACCGCCCCCGCCCCCCGGCCTTACTGTTCCGCCGTCGCGCCGCACCCTCTTCAGGTACCTACCCCCGTTTTTGGTGGGGCACATTAAAATTCATCTAACCAGGCCGGCCACAACACCACCGTCGCAAAAGCTTTTTCTTCTCGATCAAACAATCCTCGCGGTTTCTCTTCCTCCTTCTACTCTCTTCTCTCTACCGCTCTGCTCTCCGAGTCGTCGGGCAATCCGCGTGATTGAGGGCTGGTCACACAGCCAGAGTCGCCAAAACGACGTCCTTCATCCTCCTCCCTTCTTCCTTCACTTCTAAATCTCCCTCTTTGCTACCCCGCGCAGCTAGCTCTGCCTTTCGCCAAGCTCAAGTGCTTCACTGCACCGTACTCTACACCACCACACGTCAGTACGCAAAATCAAGACGCACAATGGCTCCCAAGAAGCCAGTCGTCGAGGAGAAGATCCTTCTGGGCAGGCCCGGTAACAACCTGAAGAGTGGAATTGTGGGTGTTACGCCTTAGAACCTGTGCGGGATCAGGCTGACCCCCTCTTCAGGTTGGCCTTGCAAACGTTGGAAAGTCCACCCTCTTCCAGGCCATTACCAAGTGCAACCTGGGAAACCCGGCCAACTTCCCCTATGCCACCATCGACCCTGAGGAGGCACGTGTCATCGTCCCCGATGAGCGCTATGATTGGCTTTGCGAAAAGTACAACCCAAAGTCGCGCGTGCCTGCTAACCTCACGGTTTACGATATCGCCGGTCTGACGAGAGGTGCCTCGACTGGTGCCGGTCTCGGTAACGCCTTCTTGTCGCACATCCGCGCCGTCGATGCCATCTTCCAGGTCGTTCGTTGCTTCGACGATGCCGAGATTATCCACGTCGAGGGTGACGTCAACCCCACTCGTGACCTCGACATCATCAGCGACGAGCTGCGGTTGAAGGATATCGAGTTCACCGAGAAGGCCCTCGAGAACCAGAAGAAGAAGACTCGCTCTGGTGGCAAGGGCCTTGAGCACAAAAAGGCCATGGAAGAGCAGGCTACCATTGAGAAGATTCTTCAGCACTTGAAGGACGGCAATGAAGTCCGCAAGGGTACCTGGGGCCCCAAGGAGGTAAGACAGCCACCACATTTCTTTTACTCGTCACACGCCCCCGTCACATGATGACAAAGGATCTAAGATCCGAACCATAAACCCAGCTCTTCGACTGCTTCGGCATACTGAGACAAAAAACCCATTCTGATATGACACATTATCATCATACAAGTCAGCGCATGATTACGAGAGAGCCTTTTCTGACAAAACCAACAGATTGAGGTCATTAACCCCTTGTTCCTGCTGACCGCTAAGCCGGTTGTGTACCTGGTCAATCTGTCGGAGAAGGACTTCATTCGTAAGAAGAACAAGTACCTTCCCAATGTCGCCGAGTGGGTCAAGAAGAACGCTCAAGGCGACCCCATCATTCCCATCTCCGTCTCTTTTGAGGAGCGCCTGACCCGCTATGAGACTGAGGCCGAGTCCAAGGAGGAGCAGAAGAACGTTGGAGCTGAGTCCGCTCTGCCCAAGATCGTTCTGCAGATGCGCAAGGTTCTCAACCTTGGCAGCTTCTTCACCACCGGCACGGATGAAGTCCGCCAGTGGACTCTCCGCAACGGCACAAAGGCGCCGCAGGCCGCCGGTGTCATTCACACTGACTTTGAAAAGACCTTCATTCAAGTCCTCGTCTACAACTTCACTACGCTTAAGGAGCTCGGCACTGAAGCCGAGGTCAAGGCCAAGGGTAAGGTTATGACGAAGGGCAAGGACTACGTTGTGGAAGATGGAGACATCTTGCTCATCAAGGCTGGTGCCGCTAAGGGCTAGAGAACGAATATCTGATGGAAACTTGAGATATTGGGAATGGTCAAAAGCTCTGCCTTTCGGTTTAGATATCACTGCCGGCTAATAGAAGTCCTTTGCCACCACACGACCTGCTACTACTGCATGAAATGTGTGAGATACCTGTGAAATAAGGTATTGCCATGTAGAATCACAAATGCTTTGAATATGACGCTTGGATTCAAAGCCGCCAGAGGGAAACCTCCCTGGAATGCCTGTGCCTCTTAATCGCATAAATGGGGGGTTCCCAGGCTCAACCTCTCAGCGATCGCAGCACAGACCAAGTGGCACTGATTCCTACCGAGCACCTACGTAGATCGAGTCCATCACCCTGTTCTGTTTGTCAACCAACAACTTTGAGATCCCCTCGAAATTCAGAAATATGAGCCAACCGCCATCAAACCGCGGACATGGACGAAACATATCAGTGACGAGGCGTAGGTACTATTCTTTCACCATGTCAGGGCTTCACCTGTCTCAGAGCCCATTTTCTTTTCACTTCTAGTGTGCCCTCTCAACACTTCAGTCCTACCAGAAGCTATTGCCCGAGCCTGATGGATGGCATTGAGGATGAGGGGACAAACATGTCGCCCAAGCTTTGCTGATTGTTCTCGTGCAGCGGTTCGTCCCCGGTCCTCGACCAAGGGTCCGCTCGACCTGGACGAGTAAGTTGGTACCTTGAAAACCGGTCTCCTCTAACAAGCTCTCAAGCACACCTCTGAATGACCCATTGTCGCCAAAAGCCGCCGTCACGGAAGACACGACGCAGCAACGCCCAATATCAGGTCAACGGTCGCCAGCCGTGCCTCACTCTCCAGCAACGCCCGTCAGGACAACCATCACCAAGGATTTTGGCTTCCTTCTGCGCCCCGAAATTTACCACACCGTCAACCCGGTCAACGTCCCAGTTGCGTTTAGGAACTCATCTAAACAGCCGCCATCCGATGCTCCGCTCGAGGATTTACTGGCAAAGGGGCACTTCCGAGCCGCTGCCATTGCAGCGGTTCAAGAGCTGACGGCCACAGGCAGCCCAGGGCGGCCTCAGGTCGAAACCTCGGACCACCAGAGAATTTTCAGCTTGCTGTACACGCGGCTGGCATGTCTGACGCTCATCGACGCAACGGCGATAGCGGCGCAGGAAGTAAGGGCGCTGGAAGATCTCAACGCCGGTGTCTACATTGACGAGTCCACCGGCGAACACCTGGTTCCGTGGGAGCTGCGGGTTCTCAACGTGCGTTTGCAGGCACTCGGATTCAGCGACCCTCGCAGGTCCGTGATGAGCTACCATGACCTGGCGAGAGAGGCGCGCGAACAGATCAGTAAGGCGACGACCCGTCACGACAACTCGGCGCGGGAGCTTTGGAAGGCTAGGCTGCAGGATCTGGGCATCAGCGTTGCTGGCGCGCTGGTCGAGATGGATGACCCTGCTGGTGCGGCACACCACCTGAGCACGCTGAAGGACCGCGGCGACGGCAAGATGGCGCTCTCCCGGGCTCTCATGTGGCTTCAACTAGGCGACGCGGACGCAGCACGGCGTTGCGTGCAACATTCTGGGGAAGATGGAAAGCATGCCGAGCCAGTCGTGGCCGCGCTTTGTCAGATGGCCGATGGCGAGTACGACGCGGCACTTCAATCCTGGAGAAATCTGAAGGAAGAAGTTACGGACGAGATGGTTGGCGTCAATATGGCGGTGTGTCTACTTTACACTGGCAAGTTGACGGAAGTAAGTCCCAGTCTCAAGTCTCAATCTCGAGCTATGTGTCCCATGGCATTACAAAGACGCTGACCAGGCACAGGCACGAGCCATTTTCGAGGATATGGTGGGGTCCGGCTACTCGTCGCACACCCTCCTTTTCAACCTGAGCACCACCTATGAACTCTGCACTGAGCGAAATCGGAATCTCAAGGTAAGGCTTGTCGACAAAATAGCTGAGCTAGACGAGACTCCAAGGGGCTGGGAAAAGAACAATGCCGACTTCAAGCTATAAAAAAAAAAGTCCCCCAGGGTATGGTGTAGTGTAATCTATTACTGTACCTTTCCGTCCGTGCGAGCCGAACATGGATGTCCAATCAGAGCTTCTTACACCCCTGCCCCCGGTGACCAAGTCCCGCACTGGCTGCATGAACAGTCGAGACGGTCTGCTTACCAAGATGCTTACTTACAAGACGTGCATGCTTTTGCAGACTGACAAACCGCATGAGAACACCAGACGAAATACCCGGCGCTGGGAGCCAAGAAAATCAAGGCGGGGACGAGACGAATACGGGCTTTTTTGTATTCGGATACTCAGGTGATGAATAAGATGGCCTTCCCGCGATTCCCGCGTTCCTAGCGCGGAGTCTTTTGGCGGTCATGTGTCTTTCCTACACGCATCGCCAGTGGGAGTCCGAAAAGCTGCCCAAAAGCCTCTTCATATTCGGCCATCGGGACTCTCCTAGCACCCGAAATAGTCGTCGGGACCCGTTCATTGACGAGCCATGAAGCCAACAGCAGTTCCCACGGCAAGGAGTACATCTCAATCCGAGTCAATCAACGACATACATACGAGTAACTTCCAGGAGCAGACCCTTCATCTTCTTGAGAGGATCGCGCAGTCTCAGACGGCCTTGGAAAAGCGACTCGCCGCGATGGAGATGATGCTCTCCCAACACGACACGCAGCCGCAGGCCCCGAGCTTTCCGCAGTTCCGCCAGCTGCCTCCCGAATTGAGACTGCGAATCTGGTCCCTAGTCGCAATTCCTTCGCGGGTACTTCGTGTAGGCGCGCGGAATGGGAAGAAGAAAAACGCCGACGTACTGTCGTCGTCACCTCCGTTGGTCCCGCCAGCCATTGCCGGAGCCTGTCGAGAGTCGCGGGCTCTGGCGACCAAGCACGGCGCGCTGGTGAGCCTCACGTACGGCGGTACTAAAACGGCTGAGGTGGCCAGGACACGTTGCTATTGGTTCGATAGCTACCGCGACGTGCTCGAGGTGGATAGTTGGGTCGAGGTCGAAGGAGACAGGCCGCGAGGTGTGAGAGACCTCGTCCAAAGAGCGCGGCACATCCTGGTGGGTCGCGCGGAGGCGGAGTGGTACGCCCGTCTGTTTGAACGAGCGGCTCTCTTGAACCGTGTCAGCCTCAAGTTTGATTCTCTGGACGTACGGGGTAGCACACACGGCCGGGACGCCGTGAGGCGCATGTTTGGAGGCGGGGGCGGGGGCGGCGGCGGCGGGGCCGTTGACACCACCCTCGTCGTAACGGACCTGGAGGACGCAGATGAGATTGCGTACGTGAAAAGCGTGCTGGGTTTCGGGTGGCGGAATCCGGTATTTTTGGAGTTCGACCTCGAGCTCTGGGCGCGGAAGGGGGCGGAGAGGGTTGGAAGGGCTGTGAGGGACGAGAAGTGGATGCGAAGGTTGCCTGGGACGTGGATGAGCGAGGTTGCGAGGGGCTGGGTCATGGCCAAGGCTGCGTCATCTACAACGACAAAAGAAGACAATTTTATGGAGGGGACCCGACAAGAGGAGGATGAGATGGAGGTGATGGATGGTGGTAAAGCCTTTGAGACGAAGACGCCCGCCGCGGTGGTAGCGGCGGCGTTGGATGTGGAGAATGAGTTTGTGAGAGCGGCGCTTTTGGGTATGCCCGAGGTCAGGTTCGTCAGGGCTTTTTGTCTCGATGGAGACGACAACGCCTGCCATGCATAACATAGTGGCCTCGGTTGTCTTCGATGAGAAGGAAGAGTTATCCGCTCGAGACTAGCCCAAATTAGATTACATACTGGACATACACACCACCAATGCAAAGTCATAATTGGGCAATTTCCATCAGAAAGGCCATGTAGCCTCCGGGTAATAAGCTATTGGTCTTCAAACTTCCGATCAATCACCCGAATATTGTGCGAGATGTATTAAGCCGCCACCCAACCTCGCCCGGAAGCCACTCCCTAAACTCTCGCTCCTTCTCCTTCCCATGCGCCAAATGATCCTCGCACTCCATCCGCGGATGAAAACACCGCAAGCAGATTCCCCTCATCATCCCGCTCCTCTTGAGATGGCGAACAGAGCACCGCATCAACGTCTTATGGCGCGCCAAATCCGCGTTACGTCGCCCGACGCGGTTCCATACCAATGTGTTTGGCGTCCCGTCGTCGGCGAGCCTCATCATCTCGTTGATGGACATGTATGGCGTGCCCCTCGATAGGATGTCTCTGTCAATGTTGCGGAGCACGGAGGAGATGACGGCGGTCGTGGCCGGCTTGGTGTCTTGTTTACCGTGGAAGGGGCGCTTCCACCAGTGACTTTTAGGGATGCTGCATTCACAGTAGTTTATGGCGTGTATCTGCTCCATCATGTGGGTGTAGAGGTACAGACGGAGCTCGTTTCGTTTCTCTTCCAAGGCAACTATTTTTGCTCCCATGAGTATTGTGTTCGATGACTATGCGGAAGGGATAGAGTGAAAATGGGGGCTGGGGGAAAGGAAAGGTTCAATGCTCACGAGCGATCCTCAGCGCAACGAGTTCCTCCTCTCCCGATGTACCATCCGCCAGAAAGCAGAAGCTCCACGCGATCTCGGTAATGAAACGCAACGACGCCATCTCAAAGGCCCTTTCGTGCCTGAACCAGTACGCCGCCAGGAGGAGATCCTTCTTCTCCGGGTGTACGAGCCCGGATTGCGCGATTGTTTCCATGGTCTCCGGCGAGAGCCAGTGTTCGATTTTCCTCGTCAGAGCGGGAGCGCAGTCGTACTTTGCCGATAGTGCGGCGACGGCTAGGACCACGCCGGGCGGGATGTCTATTACGTCCGCGTCTAGGCTGTTGCCGTGGATGACATGGCATATGATCTCCATGGCCATGGGATCGTCGTCTGGGAGTGAAATTCGTGCTTGATGTGAAAGGGTGGTGTCTTCGGCATTGCTTGCCTTTGAGATCATGGAGGCGAAGATGGGGGAGGCGTTGGAGAGGATGAGCGCGTATACGCGAATTTTATTTCCAGATGGGCCGACGACGAGGGTGAGGTCGCCTTTTGGAGCTACCGCTGAGTTCGTTTGTCTGGATACAGCTTCCTCCTCGGAATCTGGATCCTCAGTCTCGGCCTTCTCTGCAGTAGCACTGGGTATGTCAGTGGTTTGGAATTTGGGGCATGGTCTCAGGGAGAATCTCGAGGATTGCGGTGCTTACTCTTCATTGATAGACCCTGGAGATTGTGTAGAGCTACTGCTGCTGTCGCTCGCTTTTACTTCCATCAAGGCTTTGCGCGTGACGAATCCCTTGGCGTCCAAGGGGATGTAAGAACTCATCTTCATTACAACTTGTCCAGCAGATTGCAGCAACGACTGATGGAGCCAACCTTTGGAAAGGTGAATGGGTTCGAGAAAGTAGCACGGAATCAGGGCCATGGACTTGAGCGAGGTGATCTAGGACTCTTGCATTAGGCAGAACGGGCCCAACTCACGGTGGCGGAGCTGCGTAGCGTGAATCCCTGTCGTGAAGGAGCGTAGGACTATTCGAAGGATCAGGAACGCAATATGAGATATTGCTCGCGTACATGGGTCTGGCTGTCTACCAGTTTAGATATGATACGAGAACCCGCTTGTTTGCCATACTTACTTCAGGAAAGGCATTTGATTATGACACCTTTTGAGAAGAGCCCTCTTGCTGGCTCCATCGGGTCTAATACCAGCATGATACAGGCGGCAGGTGAATTGGGTTCTCACAAGACTTCATAAGGCACTCCAGGTAGCAATGTTATCCTTTCATTGTCTCTACTTCAGCTGATTCGACGCGTTTCGCTTGCTTGAAATGTCATCAAAACTCCACAAAGGAGGCTGACATGTAGGACTTGGTGTTTTGAAGCGCACCGATGTTGCCATCAAATCATGGCATTTTATGGCTGAAAGGACGATTTTCTCATTGTAACAAAAGCTCTTAGCAACGTCTGAATTGAAATAAATCGTACTAAAACGTCTAGAGCTAAGTTTCCAGACGATACTCGATGATTGCAAATAATTTAGCAGGTCACAGATTCTCGATGGCTGGTTGGATATTGAGGTGTGTGAATCGAGGTTGGCACTGTGTTTTGAAAGGCGGAGACGCTAAAAACCTAACTTTGGGCGAATCTCTGCGCCCCGTTCATGCCGCAAGTCCCGCTGCAGAAGTCGGCCCCGCATGTGGCACAGTGCGCCGGCTTCCGAGACTTGGAGCTTTCATCCTCATTTTTCACCTCACTCACTCACTACATGTCAACTTCAACCACTCACAACAGTCGAGACGCCACTCTCGTTTCCTCCACGTCATGGTGAGAACACGGCCCCGCAACAAGACCAAACGCGTCGCCATCATAGACTACGGCTCGGACGGCGAGCCACCAGAAGAAGGCCACGATGACCCAGAAGACGAAAATTTCGAGGCGCCGCCGCCTGACCCGGAAGACGACGAGGACGACCGCATGGACGTCGACGGGGGTGACGATGATTTTGAGGCAGAAGATCCGTCCAACCTAGCCGTTGATTGCCGTCCGCGCAGGAGAGGCGACGACGATGATGACGACGACGACGAGCGGCCTGCGTACACCAGCTCCGCCGGCATCAGGAAACGCCCGGCGGACATGGCGGCCCTCGACACCTACCACGCCGACGGCCGGCCCACGCGCTACTACACCGGCGAGCTGAAGCGGGGCCAGCGGATCCAAGTGCTGGACTTTTTTTACGGGCCCGAGGAGGAGGCTGTCGGCGTCGCGAGTTGGTTGCTAAATCGGTGGGCTGGGTATGCGGTGCTGCCGAGCAAGTTGCCTGATGGGCCCGCGCACCCGGTGCCGAGCCCGTGGCTTGGGGCGGGGTTTTACGAGGACCAGGAACGCGCTGCGAAGGGTTGGTTTGAGAGGTTGAAGGGTTCCAGAGGGGTGAGCGAGGGTGAGAGGGGGATGAGCGCGGAGGAGGCTGAGGGGTACCGGTTGAATCCGGGTGGTCACTTGGTTACCGTGATTGGGCCGTATCAAGACCAGCAGGAGGTTGAGATTCCGCCGTACGATAGCATCGTGCTTGGCGAGATGGGACAGCGCTTGACGCAAGGCGCCGGCGACGAGGAGAAGTCGGCTGGATGGATGTTTGATGCCAGTGGCATCGTCATCGGCATTGACTGGGTCCCGAGGACGGAGGGGGAATCACAGGTTCTTTCACTTGCTGTTGTCCCGCATACCGACCAGCAATTGGGCTTCGAGGAAGCGTATGATGAGAAGAAGGGTGTCGTACAATTGTGGGAGCTTCGCGGACAGAAAGACGGCGACGGCATTACAAGACCCCTCGGGCGTCCTGCGTGCCTTGCGAGGACGATTTGCGTCGATTGGGGCAGGGTGAAGCGGCTCAAGTGGTGTCCGGTATCGTTCAGAGAGGACGGCGCTTTGGGCCTACTTGCAATACTCTGTGGCGATGGGCAGGTCCACGTCGTCTCGGTCAAGGATATCGGCGACGGCGAAGAGGATGCTTTCAGTAAGACAAGATTTCCCCTTACCCTCGCTGAGTGATGCCATCCGCTAACAACCCCCATCAGCAAAACTTGAACACTCAGTCGTGTCCCTCGGCCTCCCGTCAGAAACCAACGTGACAGCAACCTGCTTCGCCTGGGTCAACACCAATCGCATCGTCCTCGGCCATTCAGACGGCTCGCTGACCCTCTGGTCCGTCTCCCCGCGCATCTGCCTCGCGCGCCACGACGTCCACTCGACCTACGTGATGCACATTGACACGGCCTACCCCTCAGAACCCTACCTCGTGGCCTCGACCCCGATCGCGGGCTACACCACGCTCGTCGACCTCTCCGACCCTTCCTGCGAGCGGACGAGCTTCCCCTGCTTCGCCATCACCCCGCAGCCCAACCTCCTCCAGTGGAGCGACCACCTCCGCGGTTTCTTCACCGCCGTCCCCTCGGCGAACCCGCTCAACGCCTCCGTCGGCTTCGTGCACGCGCGGTGGTACGCGGCACAGGTGCGGAAAGTCATGGACGGGGACCGGCTGCCGACGTGTCTCGCCGTGGGCGCGCGGCACCCGTTTGTGCTGGTCGGGTATACGGACGGGACAGTGTGGGCGGCGAACCCGTCGAATCGCATCTTTGCTTCAAAGCATCATTTCGGGCACAAGATGAAGATCCTCGACCATCAGCATATCCCGCGCGAGAGGCTTAGCGGGGAGATGGTGGTGGCGGCTGGGCTGGAGGGCGGGAGTCAAGCGGATCGTTGCCGCGGGGCTTCGAGGGTATTGCAGGGCTTCGGGCCGGTGCCCAACGTCAATCCCAAGGTGGACACGTGGAAGACAAAGGTCGCGATCAACAAGAAGAAGGACAAGAAGAAGAAGGCAAAAGGCAAGGCAAAGGGGAAAGGAAAGGGCGGCGCGGGGGGGGCGGCGGCGGCGGATGCGGGGGAGGAGGACGATGCGGATGTGCAGGGCGGCCAGGAGGAGGGGGACGGGCACTTTGCGGACCCCAAGCGCGCCGTCCTTTCGGAGCCGTTGACGCGGATCACAACAATGGCGTGGAACCCGAACGGGGATTATTCGTGCTGGGCGGCGGTCGCGATGGCGTCGGGTCTGGTCAGGGTCATGGATTTGGGATTGGAATGCTAGAGAGTGTATGCCATGCGGCGGCAACAAGGAAACACGGAGTAGGCATACGGGTGTGAAACGATACCCTCTATTGAACAACGTCTATTAAGCAGAACATTATACTTCCGAGACTTCGTGAAACTCGTTACAAACATCTACCACTACTACCACCGCCATCACCACTGTCCGTCCTGGATTACAGGCACTTCCCTCCCGTGACAGTATGATGATAATCAAACGCCTTGGCCATGCCGTACAAGTGCGTCACGGCGGCCATGACGACGAAGAAGTGGAAGATTTGGTGTGAGCTGCCCCAAATGTCAAAGGTGCGCGGGAACGAGCGCTCCGGCCAGCGAAATGCGTACAAAAAGGCGCCCGAGATGTACATGACACCGTGCAGGACGACCCAGCTGAGGCTCATGCGGTTCTCCATCTCCTCGCGGCCGTAAATGGTCACGCCGTGGAGGACGGGGACGACGCCCGAGGTGCCGAGGGCGGTGAACATGCAAGCCCTGAAGGTGCGCCATTCCGGGGCGCGGAAGAATTCGATCCAGGAGACGGCACCGCAGCCTAGGCCTAGGACGTTGATCTTTTTTTTCTTGTTAGTGTTCTGTGGTTTGGGGGGTCTATATTGTGAGGGTGGAATGAGAACGTACCGTTGTGAGGTAGAACTTGAGCAAGGCCGGGTGGCAGTAGAAGCCGTAGTACATGGCAGGCACATAACTCCCGACAATGAGGAACACGATTCCCGAGTAATCCAGCTTGTTGCCCCATTTCGCGACCTCGGGGGAGTGGTTGCACATGGCGTGGTAGGCGGCGCTCATGCCGAGGCAGGCGACGGCGCCGGCAAAGAAGCAGCCAAAGACGAGCATGTCGACCGAGGTGGCCGAATCGTAGCGGGGCGCGATGACGGCGTAGAGAAAGGCGCCGGCGACGGAGAAGGCGACGGCGCCGAGGAGGTGGGACCAGATGTTTACGGACTCGTTGTGCAGGTAGCCCAGGGACCGGAAGGAGGCGAGGTACGAGTGGGAGTCGGGCCGGTAGCCCGTGATGATGAACTGGTTGTCGCGGCGCCAGGGGGGTAGGTCGTCCCAGAGGACGAGGAGGGCCTTTTCGACTTTGCGTTCGAGGAGGGCGGCTTTGGATTCTACTGCTGAGAGGAGGTCGTGTCCGGAGGAGGATGAGCGCCGGCGCTGGTTGCGGTTGCGGGTTCTGAGGCCGGCTGCATCGTCGGCGGAGGGTTCTGGGGCCGTCATCTTTGGTGATGTTTGATGGTTTGTTTGTAGGTACAGATAGTCAAGTTTTCTCTTTCGGTGCTTTCCTCTCTCCCTCTCTCTATAAGTAAGTTTCTTATGAGATGAGAAGACGTCTCTATATTGTGAGATTGCGTGGTCCGACTTGTACATTTAAAAGGCCGTTGAGATATCATGGGCGCGCACGTTCAACAAAGGCACATTACTGGAGCTGCTGCAATGACACTAGCGCCGGGTGTGCGGCGGGTCAGGCCAGGGGTACTCCGTACAAGGGAGGATTTTTGATTGGGTTGGGAATTGTTGGGATTCCCTCTTCTTTTTTTGCCTAGGTGCTGCATTTCCACATGCTTGAAGAAGATCCTCGCGCGTGCAGCAGCGCAGCAGCAGCAGAACAGCAGACATTTTTCTCGGTCCCTGTTGCTTCGGCGAACGGGTCCGAGGCCGTTTGGGCTCCGTACGGGCGGGCGGCTTCGGTTTGCAAGTGGTGCCAGCTGGGGGGCGGCCCAGAATGGTACGTTTTCCCACGGCCCGTCGGTCAGACTGAACCATCCGCCGGGGGACAGCGGGCATCAGGTGAGACAGACAGGACATGCCTCACATACCCTTAGGTAAGGAGTATGCCAATGTGCGGAAGGTCAGGGACATACAACCTACAGACATGTGCAGGACAGTCAGACGTGAGCATCGACTGTGAAACGGGCACTGGATGGAGACGGAGGGCCGGTGGGTTCTGTGGGATGCGAGCATGTCTTGACTCCCGAGCGCAAATCTTTGCTGTGAGAAGCAAAGGCGACAAACAGAAATTCCCACTGTTTAAAGCCCCCCGCCGTTCCATTTTTATGGTGCTGCAACTCCAAACTGAAGACCCTGAGTCCGATTTTCGATGCCTAATGTCTCGAGTCAACAAGACTCTAGTCAACAGGACTCTAATCAATGCTTAGACTCCAGAGCAGCAAAAACAGCCGTCACAGGGCAGCCAGCATCATCCATGTCCACTATGCCAGGTAACCAAAACTCTTGATATCATTTCATTGCATGCTCGTTGTAGGTATTTAAAAGAAAAGCGCGCCCCGGGCTTTCGCAAATTGCGGCTGTCTTGTGCGTGGTTGTCGACTCGGCTGTTCCTCACCCACCAATCTGTTTTGCCAACGGTCGGTTTATTTCTTGCCGCTCTTCTTGATGCCCTGGGTACCGGTGTTCAAAGGTCCCTTGCCGCCGGCCTTGGCGGCCATCTCCTTGCGCGCCTTCTCCTCTGTTCTGTGCATTAGTCTCAATGTGCACAAGGAACAAGGACAAGAGAGCGTAGTATCCATAGGCCCAATGTCCCGTCAATGTGTGAACCTACCAGCGCGCTTCTTCTCGAGGAAAGCGAGGTCGTCCTCGTCCATATCCTTCTGTGCCTTCTTCGCGGCCTTGAGAGGCTTGGCCTTGCCACCTATTTGTGAGAAAGGGCCTTGTCAGCATCGCGCGCAGTGAATCGGAAAAGTAGTCCATGCGACGGCCAGCCAGCGGCTTACCTTCACGGCTTGCACCACCCATTTTTGCTGAGTTTGTCTGGGTCTTGAAGATCGACTTTGGGCGAGGAAGAGCGTTTGAAGGGTAAGGAGAGGTAGCAAGAGATGGAGTCGCAGAGGTTGTACGGTCGTGGAGTCGAAAGTAAAGGGACGACGAAGCGCGGCGCAGCGAGGCGGGCGAACGTGGGGTGAAAATTGCCCCTCCTCGAGGAATCAATAAGGGTCCCCGCTTATAGCAAGCCAGACCGTATTATTCCATGTGTACTGCAATATGCATATAAACACTCGGAATACGCGCCCCGCTGTGGTGGAGCCGGGGCAGCAACGGAACATTCCAAGCTCGACGTCGGCTCTGTTCCGTGCGACCTTGGTTTCTCCGGCGCGGCGCAATGTTTCGTCACCATCAGAATTCCTATACCACATTCCCGACGTCCAAGGCACAATCTGTCGACCCTTGATCGCTGGAAAGCACCGAGTCGTCGTCGAGAAACCATACCTACTCCTCTTCATTGACATTGCAATACGGCACTCCTTCTTTCCCCTCTTTGCATTGCCCTCTGGTTTTCTAGTGTCGCCTTGCTTTCTTTTCCCCCATGAGCTGAGTCGACACAGTCATCCGGTTCGCAAACAATTCCTGCCGCACATCAATCGTCTGGTGATCTCTGCTGACACGTCGCTGCTGCTTGCGCGCAAAAAAGACCTAGGGGATTTCTTCCTCTGGCGGATACTGTTGCAAAAAATACAAAAGAACGTGTCCAACACGTTTGAGATCAGGGCTCCGGAAAGGACCGCACTTTGCTGTCGCATCGCAAAGATGGCGTCGAGTTCCGACGAGGGCGAGATCATGGAGAATGACGCCGTGGATTTGAAGGCAACTTCACTGCCGAAGAAGTTTGAAGGAAACGGTGTTGACCGTCAAGACAGAACCCGAGAAAGACGCTCGGCCTCCAACTCCCCCGAGTACGACACTGCCTCCAGACACCACCTTTCGAGACGCAGCCGTTCGCCCCCCCCCCGCGGTTTTAAGCGTGCCCGTGACGAGCGTGACTACGTCGGTGGAGGACGACAGGATACCCGCCGCTTCCGCGTTCATTATGAGGATGGCGCGAGGGATGACTACCGCCGCTCACGCGTATCTTACGAAGATCTAGACCGCCCGCCGTCGCGCGGCTCGAATACTAGCTACGATGGCCGTGATGGGAACCGCAGCCGCGAGAGAGATATCTACAGAGACAGAGACAGAGACAGAGAGCGCGATCGCGAGAGGGACCGATACCCAGATAAGAGGCCGCGCAACCGCACCAGATCGCCCTATCGGCCCCCGCGCGGTGAGCGAGGAGGTCGTGATGATCACTATGCCAGAGATGGCGGCCGTGATCGCGTCACTGATTCGTTCCGCGGCCTGAAGTACGACGACCACAGAGACCGAAACTCCCGAAACGGAGGCGCGGCGCCGAACGGAGTCGCTGTAGGAAAGGATCCGCGCGCTTCCAGAGACGATGCTAAACCTGTGAAAGACTCTGCAGACCATGAAAATTCTGCTGCTTCTCGCCCTCAGGGCCAGACGTCCGTCTCCACTCCTTCTAAGAGGACTCGGTTCCTGCTAACGCCCGACGATAGCGCTCCGCAGGTGGTGGAACCTGATCACAGCTACGAGGAGCCAGAGGAGCCAATGGTCATTGACGAGGAAGCCGAGATCGAACGCAGGCGACGACGACGCGATGAGCTGCTTGCAAAGTCTAGTTCAGCTACTCCGCTGCTTGTTCACGCGTTGCATGCGGCTGATAAATCGGCGATCCCATCACCAGCGCAGGAGGGCACCCCAGTAGTTGATATTGGAACCCCAGGCACAGGTAAGAATCTTGCCTCCCAGACTTTTTACAGCTACTAACGTCGTTAGACGTTGCCTCGCCGGCTCAGGACGGGAGTTCACCGGGTGCGATCGACATCTTGAACGAGAGCGACCTCATGAACACTCATGGCGGTGGCGATGCAGCTGAGGAGGACGGCCCCTCGGCTGCAGACTACGATCCCACGGCCGATATGAAGGAGGATGAACGGCGCGATGAAATGCGGCACGGTAACGTGGGTGTCCATGGCGAAGCTCCTGATGCAACGAATGAGACACAGTCCCAGGAACAACCTCAGGAAGCCCCTGCGAAGAAGTCATTAGAAGACGACGACAACGACGATGATTTCGACATGTTCGCTGAAGACTTTGATGACGACAAGTACGCCGCACCCAACCCTGTAAAGGTAGCTGTGGTGGACGAGTCCAAAGCCTCACCCGCTCTTGCGCCGCCAAACGGGGCCATCCTCGAGGGAGACGACAAGGACGGTTACTACAAGATCCGCATCGGTGAGATTCTAAATGGCCGTTATCAGGTCCAGTCGACTCTAGGCAAGGGTATGTTTTCCGGCGTGGCGCGGGCCGTCGATATCACGAACAAGAAGTTGGTCGCCGTCAAGATTATGAGGAACAACGATGCGCTGAGGAAAGGAGGTTTCACGGAGATTGCCATCCTGCAAAAGCTGAACGACGCCGACCCGGAGAACCGCAAGCACATTGTCAAGTTTGAGCGGCATTTCGATCACAAGAGCCACCTGTGCATGGCGTTTGAGAACCTCAGCCTGAACCTGCGCGAAGTGCTCAAGAAGTTTGGCAACAACGTCGGAATCAACCTCGGCGCAACGCGAGCATACGCTCATCAAATCTTTATTGGCCTTGCTCACATGCGTAAATGCAGTGTCATCCATGCTGATCTGAAGCCTGACAATATCTTAGTACGTGCCCCCTCCTTTGACCATTGGATAAGGAACCTCACTAACCAATGGCAGGTGAACGAGAGTCGAAATATCCTCAAGATATGTGATTTGGGAACCGGTATTGACAAGTCTGACGCGGCCACGGTGCACAACGAGATTACCCCGTATCTGGTCAGTCGCTTTTACAGAGCACCAGAGATCATCCTCGGAATGCCCTACGACTACTCCATCGACATGTGGTCCATCGGTGCCACTTTGTACGAGCTGTATACTGGCAAGATCCTTTTCGCAGGCGATAGCAACAATCAAATGCTCAAGGCCATCATGGAGATACGTGGCAAGATCACGCCAAAGCTTTACAAGAGGGGCCAACTTTCGGCGATGCACTTTGACGAGATGGGCAACTTTGTCAGCATGGAGAGGGACAAGGCGCTTGGAAAAGTACGTTATTGGCTCATGGTCTCGGTGTTTTGCTTCCCTTTCTTCTGCCTTTTCCCTCGTTTCCCCTTTCCCCATGTTCCAACGCCTCTGCATTCTGCATCGTTTCAAAACTTCAAACCACGACCCAATCATGCTTCCAAAGTTGCTTCCAGAGATGCTATTTTTGCCGACGGGGTCCCGAGATGGTCTAGTTGAGGCGGAGTGCGGCTGTAAGCGCTGAGGCGCGGCTGCCCATGTGTATGCATCCTCCACACTCTGCGGGTTATTAAGCCCGAGCGGGTGGCCCGGAAAGCTCGCGACGCGATGCCTCCGGCCTGACGGGTTGGCCGTCGACAGTGATCACAATTCTGTTGGAAGCAAACACTTCGGATTGTTCGGACTCGCATGACTTTCTGGGGGGGTGATCCCCAGTCTGGAAGGCCCGCGAACGAATCCTCCCATCTTCGGAGGCTGAGCTGTCTCAGGGACTGTTTGCCACGGCCGCATCATCTCAACTTCGCCCCCTATTCTGCGTCCTGCCCCTGTTTTGCCCCTCCGCCGCCCCTTGTATCCTGCACAAAGGGTCCAACGTGTCGGGTCGATTTGTCAAAGTTGACAGAACATGTTTCCGCCGTCCCGAGGGTCCCTCCGCCGCAAGCCTATCCCGGCGCTCCACATTTTTTCATCACCCATCGCGTTTTTCCTCGTCATCGTTGGGCCGAAGATGGGTTGTTTGAAAATAGTAGCAGAAGTTCAGCCTGGGCTAACCAACACTCTCTTGCAGACAACCGCCAGGGTCCTACCCGTCGTCAAACCAACGCGTGATCTGCGCACCCGCCTCTTTGCTGCGTCAGCGGGTATGAACGACGCCGAGACCAGGGACCTGAACCACTTTGTTGACCTGCTCGAGCACTGCTTGACGCTTAATCCGGAGAAGAGGATCAAGCCCGCCGACGCGCTGAAGCATCCCTTCTTCACGGCGAAGGTCGCCGCGCCTTTGAAGAGATGAGGAGCGTGGCAACCTGTATTTTTGAAAACGCCGCTGGGGGTGTTTGTAGGATGAGAGGAGGAGAGGGGGTTTAAGGGATTGTTGACGCCACTTCTCTGCTTCCGGGTCACTCTAATCAGCCGTTGTCACTGGTGAGAGTTGGGAAATGCGGCTCGTAGATTCTTGTGCGACGATGTAGGGAGGTACGTCTCTTATGACGAAGCACTGGTTTAGAAGGGGGAAAGACTAGATGAAATGGCAACTACATTGAACCAGGATTGGATTTCGTGATGCTGCCTGCTTCAGGCTTACTGCGTGCCATATGAGGGGAGCAAATAGAAGTCATACACTTTTGCGTGCACAACCGACTCCATGATGGATATCACACACTACGCCCTCTCCCGCCGCGGGGAAAGAATGAGATCTCTATCAAGGGAACGACATTTGGCAAACCTGCGCGTATGACGTTGAATAGCCCCTCTGTTTACCTAAGAAGTTGCAGCAGTACTAGGTAGTAAGGACAACCGCGTCGTTCTCCCGAGCGTCCACGATATCCACGTCCCTCCCCTACCCCCCCCTCACACCTTGACGTACGCTTTCATCCGACGTTGGGAGGATTTGCGCTGCGCGTCCGTGGTTGGCTCCTTGGGCTGCAGTTTTTCCAAGTCCTTTCCCTGTCTCTCTTTTTTTTTTTTTTTTTTCTCCTGCATCGACTCATCAAAAGGAGCATGATTCTTTTTAAAGAGGTGAGACATCACTTATCAAGACTGGTCCGTGAAAGTCTGTTCACCAGGAGAATTGTCAGGGAAGAGACTGAGGGACGGAGAGCGTGTGTTTGTGTGTCCGTGATGGAGGAAGGTTCAAGGGCTCAGGGGTTTTGAGGGGGGGGGGAAGGGTCGAGGGGCTCCGAGGGTCCGCGGGTGTAGAGGATTTCCAGACGCTCAGGACGATATGGAGAGGTTCACAATCACGGTCAGCTTTCTTGAGGTAAAATTCCTCTGTGCGTGAGTTGTTGCTTTTGAGATGGCGGGCATGGTCTGAGAGGAACCATAGCCCGTTCAATACTCCTTCCCTTTCTTTCTCGCCCTCTTGTCTTTTCTGGTGGCGTCGATTTGTCAGGTTGGAGGTGTTGTGTTTAGGGGTCTTTGACAGATAGGCGGCGCATGAGCTTGGATGGAATATGGATATGGAATTGGTGCGTTGGTTTCGGGTGTATGGGCTTTCGATGGGGAATGCTTCCTTGAACGTCGGCCGCGGTGAGTAGGTAGGGGAGGGGAATATGCGTGCGTACATTGTGTCAGTATGTCAGGAGGGTCTATGTTTACAGAATACAGATATGGAAAGGGTGTTATTGCCTCTTGATTGCTCAGGACCCGACGAGGAATTTTCCCTGGATTATACGGATAGGGTCCCAGGTAATGACAGCCCCCCTCCCGCCCCCCGCTCTGAGCAGGTATTTGAGGCTATCTCGGTAGTCCAAATCGTAGTTTTGATAGTCCCCGTCACGTCATGTCTCTTAGACGAAATGGCAATGTTTTCTTTTCATGTTGAGGAGCCAAGGTTGACGATGCTCCAGGAGTGATGAGTTTATGGGAGGGTATTTTCCCCAACCATCTTTCTTCAAGGCAAGGACGTATTCCTTTATATAAGACCATGGCTTCTTAGCTGTAGATACACAAACATGCCAAACCTTTGGAGATGGAAGGCGGAATCAACGAAATAACTCGGATCTCGGATCATTACAGGCAGATTTGACCCGAAGCACTAAATCCTCGTCGTGCGGCATGACCTGTACGGACATGGAGGCATCGCTCATACTAATAGCCTCAAATGGCCTGGAAGACTAGTTGGGAGGGCATATCTATTAAACGTCACGAAACCAATGTTATTGTTTCGATCTCGAGAGCCACCACATGTTTCAAGGACGCTCTCGTGAGAATCTCGACACGACGATGCATATTGGTAAAAGGCATGCTATCTGGGGACTTCGAAAAGGTGCTATAAATGCTTGATATCTTCCACATTTGGTGTCCATAGGCAAGAACAGCCCTACTCTTGACTAAACCCACGTAACTGGATGCTAGAACATCGGGACTGTCGCCAGCAAAAGGCATCTCATTGCAGGGGCCGGCCATAAAGACTCCCGAGCTTTGAAGTGGAACTCGAGCTGCATCATATATCAAGTGTCACTACACATGGAGAAAAGGTGATCATCACCGATTCACACAAACTATCCCCGATATCAAATGGGATCACCAAACGTAGACGATAGCAGACATTTGGACCCTGCCTGAGTCTTTGAGTTTGCTTGTTAGTACTGGACCAAAGAACCAAGGAGCTGTTGCCTGGAAACCCAACCACGGCCAGAGGTCTCCTGCCTGGAAACGAGGGGCCTGGCTAGCTAGCTAAGAACTGTATCATGGCTCAGACAGAGAAACAATATCAACAGGCAACGCGATTACAAACGCAAGCGAAACGCCCTGGAATCACAACCACGGCTGGTTGTCTTCATCTAGGGAGGGGTTTTAGAATGCTGTTAGTTTGGCTTGCCCGTTTATCACGTATTCGTCGCCCCCGTCTGGATTTTCTTTTTTGCTGCTGACGGGCAGCAGAAGAACGAGCGAGACGAGAATTTCACAGTTTACATCCATGGCACTGGGCGGTACGGTACATAACTTTCATGACGGGGTGGGAGAGTTGCCGTACAAAGACAACAGAATATAGGAAGATCAGGTGCTGCTTGCCCCGCCTCGCCTCGCCTCACCTCGCCTGCTGCGGGCTGACGGGCGCTCTCAAAATGACGTTCAGGTGCGCCTCAGGTAAGCGGCGGCGGCGGCGAGACTCTGGGCCTGGTGCTCCTTGCACCGCATCGTCTCGGGTCGCAGAAGGCGTCAATGACGGCCGCTGAAGGGAGGGGGACTACACTCGGGGAGGCCAAGAGTGGCCCACCTTCCGATGGATGCTGCAGAGAGACAGAAGGAGACCAGGGAAAAAAAAAAAAAAAAAGCGTTGCAACGGCCGCGGCTACTTGCTTGCCGCCGGCCGCACGGGTTTGACTGTGCGAAGATGGCACAAGATGTAGTACAAATGTCTCCAGGTTTTTGTGCGGAGAGGATGACCTTGTTGCCTTCATGTTGGGGTTGGGCAGTCTGTTGGGTGACCTTCTCATCCCCATTGACGGTCGACGGGAAAGCTGTAGATTGGGGGAGGCAGAAGGCGGGATCCCGGTGGCTGGATCCCATGGCAGAGAAGTTGCGCCTAGCTTACGTGGACTTGGTTGGACGAAGGGGGGGGGGGGGTGGGCGTGGTGAGCGGCCGACCGGTTCCGGGGGGGGGGAGAGGGGGGGGTCCACCGCGGCGGCGGGGGGCGGGGGGGGGGGGGGGGGGCCGAGGGGTGGGGGGGGGGGTGGGTGGGGGGGGGGGGGGGGGGGGTTTGGAGTTGTAAGCTGAGCCACCGGTTACGTGAGGCGAGCGAAGGGAGGTATCACGATGCCGGCGTCGCACCGCACCGGGCGGCAAGTATGGATGGACGTACGTTGTGCTGATGCGGCCAGCCGGCATGCCAGCCACCACACGAGAGAGGTTGAGATGGCGGCAGTTTTGTGACGGTGGTGGAGGGTGCGTTAACGGGGGTCGGCCGTGTCTTCCCCCGGTAGTGCCGAACGGAGACGGTGGGGGCCTCAATCAACGAGGCGGGGTAAGGTAGAAGAGCGAGGGGAGAACCGGGGACGGGGGAGGGGGGAGCTGCCCTGGTCCGACAGCCCTGCTGTAACCTGCCGCCCTGTGTCCGTGAAATTAAGTGATCAACGGCGAACAACGTCGCAAGGTATCCATCCGCACGAAATATCGTTGCCCGCTGATTGACCAAGGAGTTTTGGGGGCCGGCCAGCCAGCCAACCAAGAAACTTTTCCAGAGACCAGAGATCGTCGTCGTCGTCGGCGGCGCTGGTTGGTTAGACGTTCGGGCACCGCCCATCTTGCTCCATTTCTCGGGTCCCCCCACCCCCTGAGCCATGCTTTCGTCGTTGTCGTCGACTCGCTGTACTGGCACATGATTGGCTGAGATGATTTAGGTTCGAGGGCTGGTGGAGGAAGGGGGAAAAAAAAGGCGTTCAATGTCACCCTGGACGTTGCATGATTGATCCCGAATGGACCCTGAATCTTCCAAACGCGTTAGGACCAACTTTCTCCTCGGTCAGAATTTATTTCAATTTTCAATCATCCAAGAAAAGAAGACTACGGATACAGATCGGCAATTCAGGGCTACCCTACTGCTGGCATTCCCTTGCGCGTATTGAGAAGCGGGTCGATCACAAAGGGGACGTCCTCCCATGGCGGGTGAATCGGTGACCGCCCGTTGGCTTATCGAGCCACGGCGCACCGTTGGGACGGACGGTCGCTTAGCTTTGGGTGGCTTGTTGGACCCTGAGCATCGATCTTTCTAGTGGAATGCCCTTACGTCGCTTGGCTCGTCTCGCCTCGGGAGACGGAAGGAGATGTGACAGGACACACGCGCGCCATGGACCACGCTTGACGCAAGGGGTGAGGTCATTGAGCGGCCCTGGCGCACGCCGCCGCCCTCATATGGGGGGATCTAGTCCCTGATTTTTGCATTGCTCAGTGAGGGACATCCTCAGAACTGCAGTCGGGACTTTTTTCTTGAATGGTGGTTTGAGCGTTGTTTACTGTTTGTGGTAGCTTGATGCATGAGACCAGGCGTTGAGATGGACGGCGGTGTGGTGGGGGATTCGGTGATCTGCAGGACGCGACCCAATAACGTCCTGACGGCGGCCACCCGAAGGCGCCGCGACGAGACACTGGCACGGCACCACGGCTGGTCGTCCGTCCCAGGGCTGGGGCATATCGCTGATGCCAGCCGTCGTCTAGAGTGATACACCAACGAACGTCCTTTGCTGGTTGGCACTTGAGCCCCGCCTCTCGTGGATCGATGGTGCAGAGCCATGAGATCATGGCTACACAACACAACGAAGATCTCTACCGCAGAGGCATCCTTTCCACAA